AGATTTTTTAGTTTCATTTTGTTTTTTAGGTTTGGAAAAGGTTCCCAAGCTTTGATCAGTGGTTTTAGAGATTTTGACAGATGGGATTTTAGGCTTCAAAAAGCTATTTTTATGTCTGGAAAAATTTTCACCTCAAAATGGTTCTGTGAAAACTGATCAATTGTGAAATGATTTTTTAATAATCCATGGATGGTGATCTATTTTTTGAATACAAAGCTTAGAAGGAGTCGCCGTTGAATTTTGATCTAAATATGGCACTTTGTTGTTTGCGTTAATTTCAAAAAGTTTTATAGAAATTCTTTTATAGAAAAAAAAATAGAATAGAAGTTCACCGGCCAAATATCTATTTTTTATTTATTTTTATTTTTTTAGTCTTTAGGTGGATTGATACGTCTGGGAAATGATTCACGAGATTTCAAAGTATTTTTAGAGCTTTTAGGAAAGGAAGAATGATTCTGCTTTTTGTCGAGGAAGTTTTTTAACTTCACAAACCATGCTTTTAAGCGAGAAAACCTTCACGAGATTAAAAAAATGGATTTTGGGAATTTTAGAAAATTTCTGAACTTGGCAAGTGGTTTTTTTACGATCAAAAACTTTATTATCCCTCGAAAATGTCCACTAGTAATTAACCGTGTATTTTGGGCTTTTTACAATAATTCAGAGCTTTTGACGGGAGTTTCCCACCTTTAGAAACAATTCTTAGAACTGAAAGAGTTCGAAAGCTTTGAAAATAGCAATTTCGTTTTTATCAGAACTTTTCTGAGCTTTAGGTGATTATTTTTATCTTAGAAAATTATATTAATTATTTTTAAAAGCTTTCTGTGCTTTGGCGTAAGATTTTTTAGCTTCAGAAAGTACGCAAGTAACGCAGCAAGTTCACATGCTTTCTTAGTTCAAGAAAAAGTTCACCAGCAAAAAATGTATATTTTTTAAAAGTTTTTATGAGGATTGATACGTCTAGAAAATCATTCAGATTCATTCATTTCATGATGATGATGCTGTGATGACTAACGTTTTAGCTTCACAAATTATGCATTTACGCAAGAAAAGCTTCGCGAGCTTTAAAAAGTGTATTTTGGAAATGTTAGAAAGTTTCTGAAAAAGTAGGTATTAGTGCAAGCTCACATGCTTTTCTAGTTCTAGAAAACCAGCAAAAAATGTATATATATATTTTTTTAGTTTTTAGGAGGATTCCTACATCTAGAAAATGATTCGCGAGATTTGATAGCATTTTTGTAGCTTTTAAGAAAGAAAGAATGATTTTGTGCTTTGACGAGAAATTTTTTAGCTTCACAAATCATGCCTTCACGCAAGAAAAGCTTCACGTGATTTAAAACGTGTATTTTGGAAATTTTAGAAAGTTTCTCAACTTGACAAGTGGTTATTTTACAATCAAAAACTTTTTTATTCCTCGAAAATGTTCACCAGTAATTAAAAGTGTTTTCTGGGCTTTTTACAATAATTCAGAGCTTTTGACGGAAGTTATCCAGCTTTGGAAACAATTCTTAGAACCGAAAGGGTTCGAAAGCTTTGAAAAAAGGAATTTCGGATTTATTAGAACTTATCTGAGCTTTAGGTGATTATTTTTATCCTAGAAAATTATATTAATTATTTTTAAAAGCTTTCAGTGCTTTGAGAAAGTACGCATTAGCGAAAAAAAGGGTTCACACGTTTCATAGTTCTAAAAAGTACCAAAAAAACAGTACTTTTTACAGGTGTTTTGAGGATTTTCAAATTTGACAATGCCGGACCCAACTTCACGAGCTCCGAACTGTAGTTTTGACGCTTTTTGTTAGGTTTCTTTGCTTTCGACAGGAGATTTTTAAACTTTGAAAAACCCTTCTTACGTCGGAAAAGAGTCCTGCGCTCTGAAATGTCGATTGTGGATTGAGTAGAAGTTTTCTGAGCTTTAGAAACATTTTTATCGTAGGCAAGTATATTAAGAATCTTTTCAAGCTTTCTGACCTTTGACAAACGTTCTTAAAACTGGCAAAATTTCTCGAGCTTTTAAAAGTATGTTTAGGAAATTGTATACGGTTTCTCACCTTGGACAAAATATTTCTTAGCTTTTAGTAAATCTCCTAGAACTTTGGAATTGAAAAAGCTCCATTTCAAGCCTGGATCCAGCAATAAGACGTTAGTATAAGACGTGAAAATCAAACAAAATCGACGGATAGCGATATATTTTTTGAAAATACTGGTTTTAGGTGAAATAGGACGGCGTAGATAGATTCGGCGTTGAATTTTAATCTAAATTCATTTGTCACACTTTAATGTTTGGTTTAAGTTTAACCGATCGTACGCGAATCTACGGTACGACTTTGGCACAATTACGTAAATCCTAATAGGTTTCGTCGCACAATGATAGTGTGAGGCATGTTTTTAGGTTAGAATCGGACGGTGAATCGAACAGAATTGCTTTTTTCGTGATAAAATGATTTTAAATCTCTATACTGGGGCAACATCCTGCCATATGCTGACAGTTTAAATCGTGTAAAACAAAAGATGGGGATTTAAACTGAAAAATAGTTGGGTTTAGGTGAAATACGATAATTTAAAACGATTGAGCGTTGAATTTTAATCTAAATTCATGTGTCGCACTTTGATGTTTTGGGTTAAGTTTAACCGATCGTACGCGAATCTACGGTACGACTCTGGCACAATTACGTAAATCCTAGTAGGTTTCGTCGTACGGTCAAAGTGTGAGGCATGTTTTTAGGTTAGAATCAGACGGTGAGTCGGATAGAATTGTTTTTTTGGAGATACGATGCGTTTAAAACTCATTTAATTTTGTCATTTTGGAGAAATGTTTCCATTCCGGGACGAAACTGACGGTGCAAATTTGAAAAAAAAACCTGATCAGAAAAGAGCCGTGCCCTCCGAATTTTTCCACAAGGAGTGAAGCTTTTCTTAATCTACTGCGTTTGAAAACCTGAAAGACAAAAAAAAACGTCCTCTTGATATTTTCCGTTAGTTTTCGGCCCTAGGGGCCCTGATTAGATTTAGCCTCTTTGGGGACAACCGGGCAAAAAAAAACGGTACCCTCCCAATCACCGTCTTTATCTCTCTCTCCTCTCTATCCTAGATAGACGGATTTTCAATAAAATCCTAGAAAAATAAACTCCAGAATTTTCAGTCAAAAAGGAGAAAAAAACTCCAACCAGGAGTCAAAACTGAACTGGAAAATGAAGATTTTCAATTTTTCTTCCATTCAAAATTTTTTTTAGACATTTGAGAAAATTTAAGTTAAACTTTATTATATGACTTTTCAGAACGCATTTGAGGGAAACCTTTCTAGAAAGATACAGAGCTTTTCTAAAACATTTTTACCTTAAAACCTAAAAAAAAGCTCCTGAACCATTTCCAGCGACATGATTGCTTTCTTGAGCTACAAAATGTCTTGTTAAAGCTTGGATATGTTCAAAAGCTCTTCAGCGTAAAAAAATACCGAACGTATGAAGACTCAGCTTTGAATAGTTTTTTTATAAATTCACAAAGCATTCTTCGTTCTGGAGGGATTTTCAGCTTCTACAAGTGATTTTTTAGATTTGCAAAGCATTTTAAGGACAAGAAATGTTTCACGAGCTTTGAAAATTGAAGGTAAATCTTTTTAGAAAATATCCGAGCTTTGAACATAGATTTGGCAACTTTCGAAAGCGTTCTTAGGCCTGGAAAAGTTTCACGATCTTTGAAAAAAGTTTTTTTTTCGCTTTTTAGACTTTTTCTAAATTTTCGTAAGTCTTTTTTTAGCGTCCAAAAAATTACATATGTCTGGAAAAGTTTAACTGACTGAAAGATATACTTTGTGCCTTTTTAGAAGGTTTTTGATTTTTAACCTTTATTTTTTACTTTTAGGAACTTTTTAATGCAGGAAAAGTTTCACGAGCTTTCAAAAGAGTTTTTTTCGCTTTTTAGACTTTTTCTAAACTTTCGTAAGTCTTTTTTTGGCGTCCAAAAAATTTCATATGTCTGTAAAAGTTTCACTGATTTTGAAAGATATACTTTGTGCCTTTTTAGAAGGTTTTTGATTTTTTGAAGGCAGGACAAGTCTCACGAGCGTTCAAAAGAGTTTTTTTTTCGCTTTTTAGACTTTTTCTGAACTTTCATGTCTTTTTTTAGCGTCCAAAAAATTTCATATCTCTGGAAAAGTTTAACTGACTTTGAAAGATGTTTTCTGTGCCTTTTTAGAAGGTTTTTGATTTTTTTGAAGGCAGGACAAGTTTCACGAGGTTTAAAATGTTTTGAGGGTTGCTGACCTTTGACAGGAAATTTTTCTGATTTCGAAAAAAACTTTACGACCTATTAAATCCCTATTTAGAGATAATTAGGCAATTTTTTTTAAATTCGACGAATTATTTTTTAGATTTACCAAGCCCCCAGGGCTACGAAATTACAATACGACACTAGTCCAATCCAAAAATGTTCACAGTCTACGGTTTTTCCTCCAGTTTTTGACCGTGTATTAAGAAATTCCTTCGTCAATCCCAAAACATACTTTAAAAAAAAAACAAAGCATCTAAGTCGTTTCAAGTCCTCTTCCTCAATTGGCCGGTCTGAATCTGTCTCGTTTGGAAAAAGGCCGATAGAATAAAAAAAAAAGCCCGGAAGATAGCCTAGGAGATAAGGATTTGGATAGGAGATTGGGGATTAAGGATGATGCAAACCTACTCTGGCTATTACTTCATCCACACCTTCAAAATGCTTATGTTTATGTTTGTTTAAAATTGAAAATAATTTTTTTTTAATTGAAGAATTTTTTAAATATATAAACGTTAGGCCTCACATTTTGAACTGGGCTAAATTGGTTGTTTTATCCGTGTCAAATCCTATCGTTTATGTTTTATTTAATTTTTCCTCGTGTCCATCAAGCGATAAAATATAAAATTTGTTTCGGGAATCGGTAAGATCTGCAAGGTCTGCAGCATGCAGGCCGAAGGTGGGAAAGAGGCGCCTAGTCATGAAAAATCCTTTCCCCCTAGCCCCCCGCACCACCCCTAAGATAAGATAGCGTGTATAAAAGCGGCCTTCTGCCTGGCCAGGGCATCAGTCGGACAAAGGCACAATGAACGGCATCTACTTCTTCGTAGCAGCTTTCCTCTGCGTCCAGGTAAGAAAAAGCACCCATTGAATTCCAACCCGGGGCACTTTTACCAAGCCCATACGGCCGGCTTGTCCAAAACAGGTTGAAACTAGAAATATTCTTTTATAAAGTTCGATCAGACACTTTCGTTCAGGAGAAAAACAAAATTTGTAATTTTTCCTATAATTTTTCAATCTTATCCAGCCCTTTGTGACTTTAAGCTTGAGTTTGTTTAGAAAAAATTAAGTTTAGACTTGTTAAACATACCAGGAGTGGTTTGGTGAACAGCCAAAACAATCCGGGTCTGTACTGTCGAACCAAAGTTTGGCTGTGGTTAAAGGTCATATTGTGATATCCGTATCTCTCCTTTATTTTTTCGTTTTCAATATATCTTCAGATATCTCCTATTTTAAACTTTTCAAATATGAAGAATGGTTTAGTAAAATAATAAGATTTATACACTGCTTGGGCTTAATTTTGGATTGTAAGTTCATTTGTTCAAATGTGTTTTTTTTACAGTGCTTGGCAGACCATGCCCCATCTTACCAGGAACTGTTGAAAGATGGACAGAAGAAGTTCGAGATGGCGTTGGAAAACGTCAAGAAGGACTTAGGACTCCCTGACCACTTGACAGGCTCCGAGTTGACCAAGGTGTTCCACGATTACGAGACCAAGGTCGACGCCAACCTCAAGGAAACGTTCAAGAAGTTCGAAAAGCACCTCAAGGACGACAAGATGTTCCAGGAGAATGTCAAGAAACTCAAGGAGACCTACCACGAACAGATGAAGACGTTCAAGAAGCACAGCCCACAGCTCGGAAACAGCGTCGAGAAGCTCGTCGACGCCACCAAACACACCTACGACGCCCTTGTCAAAGAGGCGAGCAAGAACTACGAAGAATTCCGTAAACCAGGAGGCGGAAGGGACGAGTTGGACAAACTCCTCACTGACGTTTTCGACCACGGATTGAAGCTCGTCGAAGAGCTCAGGGTAAGAAGACGAAAATCACATATACACATATATGAAAAAAAAATTAATTAAACTGTCTTTTAATTTCAGACCAACGTCCAGAAACTCTCCCACAAGGCATAAGTGCCAGAAGAAACCCCCGACAACACACAATTAAACAGGAAATACATGAACACTATTTAATTAAGACTTGAAAAAAAAACATTTTATACAAAAACCTTCTAAATTACGAATAAATTGAATTTTTAAACAGACTCACTTTAATTATTTATTTTTTGGAATACATTTCTTCCTTTATTTCCTTAAAAATTTTCATCCTTATACCAAAAAGGTCAAAAACAGTACATAAAACAAAAGATGGCGATTTAAACGGCAAGGTCGTTGGGTTTAGGTGAAATAGGACAGCGTAGATGGATCCAGCGTTGAATTTTAATCCAAATTCATGTGTCGCACTTTACTGTTTGGGTTAAATGTAAGCAATCGTATGCCAATCTACGGTACGACTGTCTGGCACAAGTACGTAAATCCTAGTAGGTTTCGTCGTACGGTCAAAGTGTGAGGCATGTTTTTAGGCTAGAATCAGACGGTGAATCGAACGGAATTGTCTTTTTTCAGATACGATGCGTTTAAAACTCCATATTGGACCGACATCTAGCCATATTCTGTCATTTTAAATCGTGAAAAACAACAGATGGGGATTTAAACTGAAAAATAGTTGGGTTTAGGTGAAATACGATAATTTAGTCCGATTCAGTGTTGAATTTTAATATAAATTCATGTGTCTCACTTTGATGTTTGCGTTGATTTTAAACGATCGTACGCGAATCTACGGTACGACTCTGGCACAAATACGTATATCCAAGTAGTTTTCATTGTACAATGATAGTGTGAGGCATGTTTTTAGGGTAGAATCGGAAAAGGAATCGAACGGAATTGTCATTTTTGAGATACGATGTTTTTAAACTCCATCCTGGGCCGACATCCAGCCATATTCTGTCAGTTTAAATCGTGAAAAACGAAATGGTGATTTAAACTGAAAATTAGTTGGGTTTAGGAGAAATGCAATCATTTAAAACGTTTCTTTGTTGAATTTTAATCCAAATTCATGAGTTTCACTTTGAATTTTTCGTTGATTTCAAGAAAAACGCATAAAACAAAAGAAGATGGTTCAAACAGAAAAGTGGTTGAGTTTAGGTGAAATGCGACGGCGTAGATCGATCCAGCGTTGAATTTTACTCCAAATTCATGTGTCGCAATTTACTGTTTCGGTTAAATGTAAGCGATCGTACGCCAATCTACGGTACGACTTTGGCACAATTACGTAAATCCTAGTAGGTTTCGTCGTACGGCCAAAGTGTGAAGCATGTTTTTAGGGTAGAATCAGACGGAGAATCGAACGGAATTGCTTTTTTTGAGATAAAATGATTTTAAATCTCTATACTGGGGCAACATCATGCCATATGCTGACGGTTTAAATCGTGAAAGTCAAGATATGGGGATTTAAACTGAAAAATAGTTGGGTTTAGGTGAAATACGATAATTTAGTCCGATTCAGCGTTGAATTTTAATCTAAATTCATGTGTCTCACTTTGATGTTTGCGTCCATTTTAAGCGATCGTACGTGAATCTACGGTACGACTCTGGCACAAATACGTATATCCAAGTAGTTTTCATCGTACAATGATAGTGTGAGGCATGCTTTTAGGGTAGAATCGGAAAAGGAATCGAACGGAATTATCCGTTTTGAGATCAGACCCGACTGGTAGCTATTAAGGACTCCCTCTTATACCTGTTGGTAGTTGATAAGGAAATTAAGAACTTTCTTGTACCAAGTGACAAAAAAAAATCAAAATTATTTTTAATTATTTATTTATAAGGTTTTTCTTGACATGAAGTTATCCGTCCAATCTGACTTCCTAAGATAACATAAAGAAATTTAGTTTACAAATATGATAATGATTTTTATTTTTTACCTCCATGTTGACGATGATGACGCAATTGATGAATGTTTTATAGAACGCTATAAAATCAGACCAGTCAATTGATCTGTCCTTTCGTTTTGTCTGTCTATCGAAAGTTGTGTAAGGGTCGAGCAGGGTCTGTGTCGTGGTTTGGACACAGGCGCCAAGCTCGGGGTCGGCGGTACTCCAGACCTCAATAAGCTCGGTGTAATTCTTCTCTTTTAAGCTTTTGACGTAGGCGCCGTATTGGTCGGACTGGTGGAGCCTCCTCTGGAACGACTCCAGTGCCGGCCCGGGTACGTCGGCCATGCGGAATTTTCCGAGGTGGGACGGTATGGCAAGCATGACTCCGACAACGTCGAAGAACTTTCTCAACAATCCAGGGCCGTTTTTTGATTCTTTCCGTGAAACTAACAAGTGCTGGGAAAAACGATCAATAAGAAAAAGGAAAAATGCATTTTTTCGAACGTACCTGAAGTTTGTAGGTGGCGTGGGAGCGCATAAAGTGCCTGTAGAACTTAGTCAGATCGGCCCAAGTTCCTCCACCGGCGCCGACGCGTTTGACGAACTCGTCGTACGGACTTTGAAGGATCTCGTCCTCACTCTTGACGCAATGGAACAGTTGGTCGTTCTCCTTTTTCAAAGACTCGATCCAATCCGTGTAATCCTTTTGGTTCATACGCTCCACGAAATCTTGGTGCTCTTTGGTGGCGTGCAACTTCTCTTGGTACATTTTCAGATACGATTTTGCTTCCGAAAAAGTTAAGGGTTTCGCCGTACCGGCTTCTGTCTTGTTTGTCAAGCCTAGCAGCTTTTCGATGGAAAAGAGCAGTTTGCCGAAGTCCTCATGCCCCTGTTCGGCCTCCCAATCGTAAACATGAACAGAGGACACCAACCACTGCAACATAATAAATTTAATACATTCTTGTAAAGTGAGAGCGTCCACGAATCAGTCCAATTATCTGAAAGTCATGGATCCTGATCTCTGAGCTCCTGGCTGATCCTCATCAAATGAGTCAGTGTTATTAAGTCCGAGAAGGAGGAATAAGCTCCTGGTTGATCCTGATTAAAGGCATCCAGATGACGATGTCCGGAATGGCGATTAAGCTCTCCAGACTGATCCCAGGTGCCAGGGGTAGAAAGACCCGAGTGGGTGGTATAAGCACCTGGTTGATCATGAAAGTAATCTCCTTTATATATCCTGTCTAATTGATGTCAGGATTCGCAAAGCAGAGTACAGTCAGGATTCTGGTGAATACTGATTAATGCCGTCATCATTAGAAAGTCTGGCTGCTATGATTGAGCTCCTGTTTTATCCTGACCAAAGGTGTAAGAATTAGAAAAACCGATTACGATGATTGAGCTTCTGGGGGATAAATAATGTCAGGATTTGGCAGTACGTAGATTGAGCTCCTGGTGGATCCTGATCAAAAATATCAGGATTAGGAAATTCGTGTACGAGGGGAACTCCTGGTAGATCCTGATAAATTATGTCAGGATTAGGCAAGTCTAGTACATGGATTGAACTCCTGGTGGATCCTTATCAAAAATATCAGGATTAGGAAATTCGTGTACGAGGGGAACTCCTGGTAGATCCTGATCAATTATGTCAGGATTAGGCAAGCCTAGTACATCGATTGAGCTCCTGGTGTATCCTTATCAACAATATCAGGATTAGGATATTCGTGTACGAGGGGAACTCCTGGTGGTTCCTGATGAATTATGTCATGTACGAATGGAACTCCTGGTGGATCCTGATGAATTATGTCATGTACGAAGGGAACACCTAGTGGATCCTGATCAATTATGTCAGGAATTGTTAATCCTAGTACGTGGATTGAGATCCTTGTAGATCCTGATAAATAATGTCAGGATTAGGCAATCCTATTATCGGGAATGAGTTCCTGGTTGATCCTGCTCAATGGCGTCAGGATTAGGAAATCCAACCTCGAGGAGTAAGATAGGATTTCATATTTTCCGAAAGTACAGTTACCTTAAACGGTAAAACGTATGTACTGTACCTGGGTGATGAGGAAAGCCGGTACGAAGTAGTCGAAGCAATTCATTGTTGCAAATAACTACGCGATGTGTAAACAAAAATGCCTGGTTTTTGTTAAATCGTTATCTTTGTGTTAGAGTAAGAACGGGGAAGGAGTAGGCGCATCTGCGATGTCGTCACTCGTCCCTGAAGTCTGCACACGGTGCACATCTCACTATCTGCCCTCCGGTTTTATCTGTTATTCCAAATCGTTTTGTTTATCTCGAGGTGTGCGTCGTCGATTGAAAACCTCGCGATCTGAATTTGACTGTTTTAAACTTTCTGGTGGGTGGCGTAAAGGTACGTTTTGTGACTCATCCTATTCGGCGGATAGGTTATATGAATAAGTTGGATGAAAACGAGGTAAACTAATTGGGAAAAATGAGTTTATTTATAAAACCTTTTGTACTTGGGTCGCAGCAGAGGCCGAGGATATAGAAACTTATGAAACTCATCGTGGAGTACAGCGTCTTCTGGAACGACTTCACTCAGCCACTTGACCTCATAACCTCAACGTTTCCATCTCAATCCAGTATCTTATCAAGAAACACTAGAAGCTCATGTGGTTCCATCCCAATCTCAGCGTTTCATCCTAGATGCTGTTCAAGCAACACCATGACTTCACAACGACAAGCTTTTCAACCTAATGCGAATATTATTAATTATAATATTATTCAAACAACAACCTAACCTCGTAATCTCAAGTTTTCTATCATAATGCAGTTACTAAGAGCTCATGTGGTTCCATCCCAATCCTGATACCTTTCGGTCAACACCACGACCTAATAATCTCAAGGTTCCGTCCTAACTGAGTGACTTTCCAATCAGCATCACGACCTTAAAGCCTCATCTCTTCACCCTAAGCCAGATACTTTAAAGCCTTATTAGACAGCTTATGAGGTTGCATCCTAATCTTGATATTTCTCAGTTATCTTCATGGCCCCGCAAAGTTTCTACCCAAATCAGATGCTTTGCTGTACAGTTTCGTATTGGTTGTCTTGTTTCAATAGTTGATCATTATTTGAAGAAATAACCAAGCGTGTTTTTCATGAAACCAGACCAGAATTTGGAAGTAAAAGGCGATTCCAACTGTCCTTGTGTGGGATTGTATTGAACTTTGGGACATAATAATATTTTATTGTGTTTTTACGTTCAGTTCTCGCTCTTGATCGGATTGTTCCGCAACCGAAACGATTTTCCTCGGATAATAAAAGTGTATTAGAGTGATTATTTAAATAATCACGTTGTGTTACGGTGAAATCATGCTTCAGGTTGACATTCAACGAAGGAACCGACATTTTAGAGCTTCGTTATGTTTCTGAATCGCTGGGAAAACCTCTGGTTTTTCATGAAGCTTTTTGGGTTCACAGAGGATATGGGATTCGGCAACAAGATCAATGCGAACGTGATGATATCGACCAGAGGTCGTCTGTTCATGGGCTTCGAGGGTATCCGCTATGCCCAGCCGCCAGTCGGGAACCTCAGGTTTAAAGTGGGCTGTACAAAAAATTGTTCTTTTATTTATCGATTTAAAAAACTAAACACTTTTTTGTTAAACAAAAGGACCCGGAGCCGTTCGAGAGGTTCGATAGCATCAGGCGGCAGGTCGACTGCCTACAGTTCGACCCGACGACCGAGAAAATGATCGGACAGGAGGACTGCCTTTTTCTTAACATCTACACACCTGTGAAGTTTGTGAGCATTTAATTATTCTACTCCAAAAAAGCATGAGTCAGTTATGTGAGGTCGTTATGCCAAAGCACTTCCTGGTATTTTACCCACAGGAAGTCAAAAGTCATAACATCCCAACCTAGAATCTTTTCAGGCAACATCAGGTCGTAGCCTAAAATTTCCCATCCTAATCCTGTTACTTTCCAGGTGGGATTAGGAGCTCATTTAGTTTCATCCCAATCCAAATACATTTCAGGTAGCGCCGCGATCACATAACCTCCTACTTGCGCAATAAAGGAGCTCATCCTGATAACTTTCGGGAAACGCAAGCAGCTCATAACCTCAAGCTTTTCATCCTAATACGAATACACATCTGGTAAAACCAGAAGCTCATGTGGTTCAGTATCAGGAGCAAATCTATATCCTATCATGACAGCGTATATTTCATCAAAATCTCAACCCAATCCCTCCAATCAAGCAATACCAGTAGCTTATCTGTTTTTTCTCCCAACATTTGGAAAATCAAGCAGCTCATAACCTCAAGCTTTTCATCCTAATACAGATGCATCTGGTAAAACCAGAAGTTCATGTAGTTGCGTCCGAATCCAGTTACATATCAGGCAGTATCAGGAGCTAATTTATGTTCCATCCTAATGCTGATATGATTTATGCAACTTATTAACAGCAACTAATTTCAATCTCTTCAGTCAAACAATTCCAGTAGCTTATCTGGATTCTCTCCCAATCCTGATACTTGCCATATAACTCCACAACCTAATAACCTCATGGTTCGTAATTGCGATATTAGGACCTATCAGGCTGCAAAAGAAGCTCATCGGTTTTTCTTCCCAATATCGATACCTTTCCGGTAACACCACGCCCAACTAACCTCAAAATTTCAATTCCAATTCTGATACATTCCTGACAATACCAGGAAGTCATCCTGATAACTTTTACGAAGAGCAATCCTAATGGATCCATTAACAGGGGCTTATCTTCCTCCTATACTAATCCTAATATGTGTCAGGCGATACCAGGAGCTCATCCGGTTTCAATTCCAATTCTAATTATTTTCATCCAACATGACCTCATGACCTCAAGGTTAATTCTCAATCCTGATAGTTATTAGGCAGAACCAGGAGATTATTTGGTTTCCTGCTGATCTTTACAAACCTGAACCTTCATCTCAACCCGATGTAAGTCCACGCCGACTTAGCAATTTATTAGCCCAGTGTTTTTTGTTTATGCTATGCTGATAGTTTTGACAAAGCTCACAGGAGCTCGATGATGTGTTTGATGAATAATTAACTTTTATTTTGTTTTTGACGTTAGATGAGCGTGAAAATGCCGGTTCTGATTTGGATCTACGGAAGCCCGTTTTATTTTGGAAATAGCGCAAACAGCCTTCTCGGAGCGGAGAGGCTCAGTAACTATGACATCGTCATTGTGATGATAAACTACCGCGTGGGTCCGCTGGGTTTCGCGAGCTACGAGAACTCCACCCTGCCCGGCAACCTCGGTCTCAAGGACCAACTCATGGCTATAGAATGGGTTTTTAAAAATATCCGAAAGTTCGGAGGGGATCCGAATAGGGTGACACTAGGAGGAATCGGCTCCGGAGCGGCTCACGTTCTCTTCCACCTAAACGGGGTGATGAACGGCCGGATAAACAAAGGTATAGCAATCGGAGGGTCGAGGTTCGCACCTTGGGCTTTCGGCAAGCCGTCATGGGTCAAAATGCACACGGAACTCCTAGCTCAGTCGGTCAACTGCAAGTACGCTAAGCCAAAGATGTTCTCGTCCCAGTTTCCCTATGAAAACGGACTGGGGCAGAACATTTCAATCCTTTTACCAACACATCGATGCAACGCCTCCTTGGATGATGACAACTTGGCCCAAATCGCATACCAAGCTGAGAGACACGTACGTGCATTATTTCTTTGTCAGGGGGTTATGGAGGCTAATGGTGTTTATGTTCTAGATACCTTTTTGGGACAAGATCATTCAGCCTTTTCAACCTGTGATAGACGGTCATATCATACCAGGCAACCCTCGGGATTTCAATGGAAAACACAAGTTCTCCCTATTGCTTGGTTTAAACAGAGACGAAGGGGGCTTCATGGTGTCTTGTAAGTCCGATTAAGACAACGCTGTACCTTCTCGATCTGGTGATTTCGTCTTTATTGTTTTGTTTCTAATGCAAGATGCCAAAAACAATGAGCTCCCAAAGGAAGAGGTGAAGTCTGCTTTCGAGTCTTTCTTCAGGGATGGTGTCGTCAGGGATAGGAAGCTCGTCATGTACAACACGGTTGTCAATGAAAACATCACCTCTTTGTACAACCATTTTAACACTACCGACGACAAGCTGTCGGCGATTACGAGCGACGGATGGTTTCTCCTTCCGGCCATGGCGGAGGCCAAATTCCACAACGGTCCTTTAAAGGCGTTCATGTTCGGCGATTACTTCGGCTGGAAACATATGGACTGCTCGGTCGAAAGAAAAATCAGACAGTCCGTACACGGTGACCAGCTCCCATTCATATTCTTCATATATAGGTGCAGGGATCTGAGCTTTTATTTCAATATGGTCGCGGACGGTTATACGGACGTGATAGCCGACTTCGTCTCTGACAGGTGGGCATAAAAATCGATTCAGCTTAAAAACATCTTTGTTATTTTCTTTTTTTGTTTAGAAATGTACGCCTGAGGACATACCAAGACGATCAGGATACAATTTTTGACCTCACAAAAGCTCTCCGTAATCCTGATGAGTTTAAATGGATCGACCATAACCTATCGGCACGAATGCATTTCTGGTCTAAACTTATTAAATGAGCCAAGATTATGATTTGCCAAAATCATGAAGTCAAATATGTCTTCCGACACCTGTCTGAATAACTAATAAATAATCTACTATCTAACAGTCTATCTAATCATAAATCGTACCAACCTGATGCCCTTTCTCATGTAGAACATAAAGCGAGTTAACGTAGTGCCATTTTTTCGAGAGGGCAGACAAGAGCTCATCTTTTTGTTTCGTGATACTTTATCATCTGCTACAAAAGGAGGAGCTCAATCTTGTTTTCTTCCTGATACTTTTCAATCTTTACGGATTTCTTATATTTACTATATCGATATACCTGATATACCTCAGTCAGGATGTAACAGGTCGCTCGGTCCCTTTCTAATCCTAATACTTTCCAGGCAACACCAGGAGCGCTTTCGGTTTCGACCGAATCCTGATAGTTGTGCTCCAACAGGAGTCCCAGCCCTGATACCTTTCAGGCAGCGCAAAGGTATCATAACTGTAAAGTTTCCGACATAATCCAAACACTTCTCAAGCAATAAGATATAATCTATATCCCTTAATTAATCCTGATATGTCTGGAAGTACCTGGAGCTCATCTCAATCCCATCCCAATCCGGATTAATATCAGGAGCATCAGGAGCTCTTTTAGTTTCATCTGAATCTTAATACTTGTTGGGCTCTTCCAAGAGCCTCTTATTTGGTCTCATCCCATTCCTCATAACTTTCATGCAGTACTATCAATTCATGTCGAGAGACGTGGTTGTAGAAGTCCTTCAACCTGATGATGAGCTAAAAGGCTCGAAATCCGGATCGTTGCAAAACAACTTACTGTGAGTACGAACTATTCCTTTTTAAAAAAGTAAAGAATAAATGCTTTTGACTTTTTGAGAATGTACGACGGAGATGTTTGCTCAGTGACAGAAAGACGGAGACTGCGCTAAAAAAACGCGGGTTTTCTCATTCACGACCAGGCCAACGCGTCAAAATCCCCACCCTCCACGCCAGGTTTTCCCATTCACCAACGACGCGCCATGCCGTCGTCGCGCCATATATATTTGGAGTGGCGCGATGGAGTTTGGACCGGTCGAATATTCGGCACAGCCGGGCACGCCAGTTCAGTTTTGCCATTGACGTGGTTTTTCGAGGCGTCGCTCCGTTTGGACTGCTTGGAGCCATCGTGAATGGCCACCTTAAGGTAGTAAGAATAATTTATTTCTGTTCCTACCTAATCCTAATCGTCATCGTAGACGTTATAACAGCCCAGATGGTAATGAAGTTCTCTTCACAGGACCCGTATCCTTAAAGAGAACAAACACATTCGAGGGAAAAAAGAAGTTGCCATATGGAAAAACCATGCAACTTAGATTACCATGGCATAGCGTATATACGAAAGTCAAAGTTTCAGTTTTTAAGATATCGCCTCTCATCTGCCCTGTACATTGATTACGTTTAACTGTAACCCGGATTTAGTCAATCAATCGACCTTCAAGTGCCGCATGTGTTCCAGAGCACCGAGACGAATTCACGCCTGAGTCTTGCCTTCTGATCAAATTTTAACTGATCATAATTGATTTTGAACGCTCGATTATCCGGATATTCCACATCCTTGGAATATTCGTGCAATGGCTGTAGGGAACGGCACATCACTCGGGGCGGTATGGACCGCCTGGCAACACTTACGGATCATAGGTTGGATTTATATCTTTTTTTAATCCGGTCAAGACCCGTTGATTGTTTCAGGAGAGATGAAAGGAGACGTGGGCGTGTCGTACGAAAGGAATCTGTTCTTACTCTTCGCCGGTATACGCTATGCGATGCCTCCAATCGGAAACCTCACATTCAAGGTACGATACATAATTAAATTTAAAACGACACTAAAATTTTGTATAGGATCCGGTTCCTGTGAAGAAGAACTTCAACCTAGGTCGAAAGGTCGACTGTTTCGAGGTGAACCCCTTGGACGAAAGGCTCATCGGAGAACAAGACTGCCTGTTCCTCAACGTCTTCACACCGGTGCCTTATGTCAGTTTATTCTCTTCCTTGTTATACTTTTTTTTTTAAATTTCAAAATACAAAAGGTGAATAAGAAGATGCCAGTTTTGATATGGATACAATGAGAAGCTTTACCGCTAGATAGCAACAGGGGGAGCGTCTATCACCACATGAGACTCATGGATTACGACATAATCGTCGTGACTTTAAGCTACCGTCTCGGCCCTTTAGGTACAACAAAATAAACTTCATCCCGACCCTTTGTTAATATTCCTAACAACAGGATTTGCCAGTTTGGGCGAGAAGGATTTCCCAGGCAACTACGGTCTCAAGGACCAGAAGATGGCCATTGAATGGGTTTTGAAGAATATACTTGTTCGGGGGTGATCCAGAAAGGATAACGCTCGTCGGAGAAGGTGCTGGCGCGTCTTATACCCTGTTCCATCTCAACGGTGACTTGGCTGGCCGGGTGCGACGAGGTATCGCGCTGAGCGGGTCGAGGTTCGCGCCTTGGGCTTTGCCTGAGAAGAACTTCGTCCGGGAACGGACTTACGAGCTCTTCTACCCGCTCGGATGTTTCGACGCGGACGACTTCACATTGGACTCGGACTGCCTGGTGTACCAGGACCACAAGGACATTGTTAAGACAGCGTTCAACATTTTCCAAAAGGCAGGTTTTCCCCTTGTAGAAAAGAATCAGATTATCTCCTTAACACCGATATATTCCAGTCTGCAACAGGACCTCATTTCGTTCTATCCCACTCTTGATACCATTTAAGAAGCATCATGACCTAATAGCGTCAAGAGTTACTTCCAAATACCAATACGTACCAAGCAACACTATGATCATGTCCTCGAGTTCTTCTCTAATCCTAATACTGATAAGACATTACTTTGACTTCATAAGGTTTTCATCCTAAACCAGATCTTTTTCGAGCAGCATCTGGAGCTTATCTGGGTCAATCCTGATAATCTTGACATTGACACTAACAGATTTCACATTTTCACGTTTCCATCTTAAACCACATATATTTCACTCCCTCCCACGAGTTTATGTGGTACTATCCATATCCTTATACCTGTCTGGCTGCACCATGTCCTTATAGCCTCAAGGTTTTCTTCATAATCTAGTTATATATCAAGCAATACCAGGTGACCTTGTGGTTTCTTCCTAACCCCGATACCTTTCTGGGCGCTTCAATGCTAACTTCAAAGTTTCCTTTTAATTTCTAATATTTTGTGGAAACACGAAGAGATACGAACATAAAGGTTGAACTTCAACAAAAGGAGATCTGACTCTATAAAAATTCTGATAGATTTCAGGCAACATCATGACCTCATAACTTCAAGATTTTAATCCTAATCCAGATCTTTTTCGAGCACCACCATGAGCTGGTTCTATTGCAATCGTAATACCATTCTGGCAACACCACGACCTCGTTACATCAAGGTCTTCATCCCAACCCTGATACTCTCTACCAACAGCAGGTCACCTACGTTTTTAAACGCAATACTTACCTTCAAGGTTACCCAACTCTGATTGCATCCTGTCAACTACCTTAACCGCAAGGTTTCCATCCTAATCCTGATACTAATTGAACAGTAACAGGAGCTCATCTGGTCTCATCCCAACCCGGATAAATTTCAAGAAGTACCATGACCTCATAACGTCAAAGGTTCCTTCCTAATCGTGAACTTTATTAGGCTGTAACAGGAGTTCTCGTTTCCTTCCAAACCCCGATATTTTTCCGACGGCACTATGACCTCATAATGTCAAGGTTTCCATCTTAATCAAACTTGTTATCAGGTGGCAACAGGAGCTCATCTGGTTCCTTCCAAATCCCGATGTATATAAAGTATAATTTTATTTTTCAAATTCATAATCCATGATTTGCAGAAGACCCCTTGGGTAAAGGCGATAATGAACGTTTTCATGCCAGTCGTGGACGGTAGTACGATTCGTACTCACCCTTGGAAATCCAAGCAGATGAGGAATTTCAGCCTCCTATTAGGCTTAAAGAAAGATGAAACCGAGGTGGTGAGAGCTCGTAAGTGTGGATTTGAAAATTAGATTCATTTGATGAGGGTTAACCAATGCTGTCTTTGTTAAGTCGCTTCCAAGTACGCTTGGTCGAAGAACATGTACTGGGAGTCCTTCTGCTATAACATCAGAGAGCACAAAGTGCCTTGGAAATGTTCCGAATATGCCATTTCGAAAAAGCTAGTTGACGAGTACAACCTCGAGGTTAACTGGAAGACCGGCGTGTTGGATATGACCGCGGACGAGTGGTTCACGTTCTCGGTGATGTTGGAGGCGTTGCACCACGGAGGACCTTTGGACGCGTTCATGTACGACTTCAACATCTTTCCGTCTTCGAAGAAATGCTCGAAGAGGTACAAAGTGCCGTTCATGGACGTGCTCGACCCATGCCCACCTTTCTACAAAGGGTTCGATACCCTGGTCGGCAAGTTCACAGAGCTCATCGCTTCGTTCGTACATGGAAGGTCAGTTGGGACAAATCCGCCTATAAAACAAAATAAACCTATGATTTTTTTCTAGAGAGCTAAATCTGAAACCTTACTCAGAAGTCAGACAGCTTTTCAATATTACAAAGGCTATCCGCTTACCAGAAGCTTTCGCCGATATCGACGTAAACTTGTCGAAGAGAATGAAGAAGTGGACGCGTTGGTACAAGAAGTGAAAATAAAATCATGCTCAAGAGTTTTGCTCTGTCATCTCCGTTTATACATAACCTATCCAGATACTAGTAAGCTAGATACATGAAGTTCGTTTCCATTAGAATCCTGATACTTCCAGGATGCACAACAACTCATAACGTCAAGGTTTCCTTCCTAATTTACATGTCATGCTAGAACCTCTTTTGATTCCATTCTATTTCTGATACTTTTCAGGCAACACCATGTCCTCATAACCTCAAGGTTGCGATCTTAATCTTTATTGAGCAGTACCAGGATCTCAGGTTGTTCTATACCTAAACCTTGGAACCTAAAAGGTATCCTAGTACCTTTTAGGTACCACCATGGCGTCATAATCTCAAGATTTCATTCATAACCTAGATGCATATCACGCAATACCAGGAGCCCATGGGTTTCCTTCCGGATTCTGATACCTTTCTGTCTACACCAATACCTCATAACCTCAAGGATTCAATTCTAATCCAGAATCGTTTCTGGCAACGGAAGGAGCTCAAGTTCATCTCAATCCTGATCCTTTTTGGTAGAAACAAGGGTTCATAACCTCAAGGCTTCCTTCATAATCTAGATATACATCAAGCTCCTTTCGGATCCTGATAGTTTTTTCGCAATCTCATATCTCTTGGTATTCCTAATCCTGATACTCACTGGGTATCTCAATGACCTCATAACCTCAAGGTTTTCTTCATAATTCAGGAGTATGTGGACATATAAGTGGACATCAGATTAGTCCGAAGCATCTGTTTATTAAGGGAAATAAAGAAAGCCCCTTAAACTCTACACTTTTTTAATGATAATGTAAACTTAACATATTTAATGATTTCCATTTCTCCATCCTTTTTGACATCCCTGTATCGATGGTTTTGAATCCAGCAGGGTCCAGCAATGCCTGTGTGATGTTGAAAACGTCCTTATCTTTGGAATAAGGTTTCAACTCGAAACTAAGGTCTCTGAAATGTGAAATGTTAGAAAAATGGTAGATGACCGCTTTGATGTCTACTGACCTTTGATAGACGAAGTTCGATATGAGTCGGGTCATCTTTGACGCTGCCTGTTCGTACCGGAAGTGCAACGGACAGTCGAACGTCAGGAACGGGACGTTGGATTGCATCAAACAGGGCGGATATCCCGTGGGGTTTAAGTTGTCGAACATGAACCCGGTCAACGGACCTACGTGGTATTTGGCCTCGGCCATGGCTGGAAAGACAAACCAACCATCTCCCGCAAGATTCCTCAGGTTCTTCGATTCCAAACTATCCTCTTCATGGTACAAATTGGCCAGTTCCTTGGAACCTTTCCTAACGAATGGCTTTCCAGTCATAACTTCATAGTCTACACGACTGTTGAAAATTGACTTGATTATGGCATCAGTCCAGTTGTACCTATTGATGACTGTTTCAAGAAGATAATAAATGTTATAGAACATCTGTTTATACTTAAAAATACTTACATTCATCCATGAATACTCCCTCGTCTTTCTTCAAACCTAACAGGAGGTTGAAATTAGCATCACTTGGCCTTTCCCAAGGGTGGTACTTGATTATTTTACCGTCGACCACGGGTAGGAATGGCAAGAGCATCGTCCTCTGCATAAGAATTCCATCATAGAGCAGTTTACCATGATCCAACTGCTCCGTTCTCATTTTATACGATTCGTGGACTAAGTTATTAGCTTTGATGCTTTTATAACATGCCAAGTCTTTACAGCGAATCCGGTAGCCGAGTTTGTCGGACTGACTTGCTACCCATGACCTCGGCCCGAAAGCCCATGGTGCGAACCTCGACCCGCTCAACGCGATACCCCTTTTGATTTTATCTTTCATGGCATTGTTGAGGTGGTGCAGGGCGAAAGCTGCACCTAGACCTTCTCCTCCTAAAGTTATCTTCTTAGGATCGCCTCCAAACTTGTGTATATTCGTAATGACCCAGTTGATAGCCATCTCCTGATCCTTAAGTCCAATGTTGTCTCGATGAAGCATATTCAGCTTGCTTGAAAACCCTAAACGTTTTATATTATCCTGTAATATTGCAAAAGCTTAATAAAGAATCACCTAGTGGGCCAACCCGGTAGCTCATAGTCACGAACACCATCCATTCATCCATGAGTCGTTCAGGTTCGTAGTTGATCTTGCCCAAGGGATCGAGATTCCCATCGATCCAGATCAATACTGGCATTTTTTTATAATCCTGTTGACCTGACAACTTTAAAAAGGGCTTAAATGTTAAAATCAAGTACTGACGTAAGGCACAGGAGTGTAGATGTTTAAGCATAGGCAGTCTTCTTCACCGAACACTTTACCGTCCTTCGGGTCTACGTCCATGCAGTACACCTTACGCTTCAGGTTGTACAAATAATTATCACTAACCGGGTTCTGTCAATAAAAAACAAGTAAACAAAAACCTTTGAGTTTTAGTTAGCTTAATTACCCTGAAACTGTTTTTACCGAGGGGTGGCTCGGCGTACCGTATCCCTTCGAATGCCAAGTAATAGTTTCCGCTGGGCGTCATCCTCCGATGACCTACCATGTCTCCTGTTAAACCCAACATATTTAGAGATGTTCGTTTATATATCTTTCAATGCTCACCTATGATCTGCAGGTGGCTCCAAAGAGCCCACATTTTCGTCAGGCGTACCGCGTTCTGCATGATTGCTAGTCAAATCCAGTTAAGCTCAATACGACCGAGCCTGAGATTTATAAATCGTACATTTTTCACGGGTTTTATTCTAATTATTCAGAACCTGACGAGGCTTAGAATCAATTATACTTGGAACATCATGAATTACAATGTTAATCGATTTATCCCTTCCTTGATATCCTCGATGATCCTTCCCCGAGGGGGCTTCTCGACCTTTTTGGAGCAAAACCCTTTTAAAATATCTAACAGTATAGTTAGACAGAACTGTCCTCCTCGTTTATTGAGTTTACCAAGTTCCCATGATGGACGGGCTGGTTGTCCTACTCCATCAAAACTAAGGGTCCCAGTTGAGGCGGTGGATAATCCTACTTCCACCAAACTGTTCTATGGACTCCTTTTACGAGGTGCTGATAAGGTGGGAAACTGAGTTGCAGTGAAAGGAAGGTATCAAGTGAAGTCTTGGCCTGTTAAAAGAGCAGGAGTATGCTAAGGTCGTTTGGATTGTCTGATAAGGGAGACAACCCTCTACCAATATTAAAAATGTTTCTAATTTGTCATATGAAAGAATGTGATATATGGACAAAAGGGAGGACACAAGGCCTTCTGCTCTTCACCTGAGTAGATAGTCGAAAGGAAGATGGTGGTCGTTTCCGCCTAGGCTCATTGGGTGATTCAATTCTAGTTAAATAATCACCTGAGATGTCAATGACCTTAAAATTTCCAAGTTTGGGGACGGGTGAGGTTTGGTTAGGTATGGGTAAAAGATACGTTAAGAGAAAGATTAGGTTATGTTAGGTAAGGATAAAGGTAAGATAAGGGAGATTAGGTTTTGATAGGTATGAATAAATGTGGGTTTATGGTTTGGTTATGTATGTTTGTCTATGAGTATGGCACATTTAGAGACGGGTTAGGTTTGGTTCGGTATGGGTGAAAGTAGTTTTATGGACGAGTTAGGTATATTAGATGTTAGGTAATTAAAGAAAAGATTAGGTTATGTTAGGCATGGATAACGGTAAGTTAATTGAGATTAGGTTTTGTTAGGTATGTATAAAAAGTGGGTTTATGGTTTAGTTATGTATGTTTGTGTATGAGTAAGGGTAGATTTAGAGACGGATTAGGTATGGTTAAAAGTAGTCTTATGGACGGGTTAGGTATGGGTAAAAGGTACGTTAGGGAAAGACTAGGTTATGTTAGGTATGGAGAAAAGTGGGTTTATGGTTTGGTTATGTTTGTGTATGAGTAATGGCATGTTTAGAGACGGATTAGTCGTGGTTAAGTATGGTTAAAAGTAGGTTTATGGATGGGTTAGGTTTGCTTAGGTAAGGGAAAAACGTCCGTTAGGGAAAGATTAGGTTATGTTAGGAATGGATAAAGGTTGGTTTTGTGAGGTACGGATAAAAGTACGGTTTGCTTATGTTTGTGTACGAGTAATGGCATGTTTAGAGACGCGTATTCTTGGTTAGGTATGGTTGAAAGTAGGTTTATGGACGGGTTAGGTTTGCTCCAGGGAAAGATTAGGTTATATTAGGTATGGATAAAGGTAAGATAAGGGACAGGTTAGGTTTTGTTAGGTACGGATAAAAGTTAGTTTATGGTTTGGTTATGTATGCTTAAGTATGAGAATGTCAGGTTTAGAGAGGTTTAGGTTTAGGTTATGTTAGGAAAGGATAAAGGTAAGAGAAGGTTAGGTTTTGTTAGATATGGGGTATGTTTGTTTAGGGGTGTATGGTTTGGGGATGGATGACCTTCCATGGACGAATCTCCCGACGACTTTTGTGATTTTGGACGCAGTCGATTCGTAACTATCTACTAGAGTAGGACCAGCCGCCTGCGGTGAATTTCTTCGCTTTTTTTTTTGGTGTATTTCTTTTGACTTGTACAACGAAGACATGTGAATCACGTTAAAGTAGAGGCAAGGTTGGCTCGGTCCACTTTCAGTCATGTTGCGCGTGGTGATAACTTAGTTAAAGCGTTTTAACTGTTATGTGCTCATTTTGAAGTTAAGCTAACTCGCCTTCTTTCTATCCTCAGAAAGACAAAGAAAGCTTTTTGGGTGAGTAGTGAGTATCAGGATGGCAAAGGAATGACAGGAGCCTAACTCGTCTACTTACACACCAATTGAGCTCATGTTAGAAAATCAATGGTTTCCTTCCAAATCATGATACAAATCAGCCAGCCCCAATTTCTAGATTTTCCTTGTCGTTGATTATTTTCCTACTTAGAAAGAGGATCGATTTTCTATGACAAATTGATTACTGATTACCGCCCTTTGTCTTATGTCAGTTCTTGACTTTTTTAAAGGTTTGACATCAACAACTCAATGAAAGCTTGCCAGCGTTGGTCTGGATCGAAGGGTTTTTCAACTTTTTCCTAAGCACCACATATACACTCCACGATTCATCAAGGAAAGAAGCCATAGATTGAAACGTGAAAGACAAGAAATATGTTCTCACCGCAGAGTTATTAAAAATAAAATCCTGATAACGGTTTTGATTACTTGCCTACCTCTTATTGCTTTATCAAAATCGTCATCTTTTAGGCATGACAAGCAGTTTGAATCTAAATGTTCAAACCGACCGACGACAAGTTCTTCTTCTTTGCAACATCTGCTCAGGCTTATTTCAACAGTTCCGAGTCCATATGTATGCTTCGAGAGACTGTCTAATAAATTGATCTGCATTAGGGGTTTAGTATAAGGTGTAAGTATTCAGGGTTGACAGTTTGCACTGAGCATAGAAGAACATCTTCCTTTGTGAACAATATGAACAATAAATTACCCTCCTTTATGTGAGAGGAATAATATTACTTGGATTACCAGAAGATGGATGAGACCTAGGCTCTCTAGACATCAAGGAAAATAAAAAAGGCTGTTTAGGTCTATATTGTTTTTAATGAGTTCGCAATTTTAGCATATGTAAAGATTTCCATTTCTTCATTCTTTTTGATATCCCTGTATCGATGATTTGGAATCCACTCGGGACGAGCAATGCCTGTGTGATGTCGAAAACCTCCTTGTCTTCTGAGTAAGGTTTCAATTCGAGGTCCCTGAAATGTCAAATTTTAGCAAAACGGTAGGGATCGGTTTGAAATATGCTGACCTTTGAAGGACAAAGTTTGATATGAGTCTGATCATCTTTGATGCAGTCTGCTCACACTCTTCGTCTAATTTTGTACAGTTGTACGTCAAGAAGGGTAGGTTGTATTGCGTGAAGGAGAAAACGTCCGAGGAATTTTTGTCATCGAACATGAACCCGGTCAAAGAACCTACGTGGTATTTGGCTTCGGCCATGGCTGGAAAGACGAACCATCCGTCTCCCGCAAGGTTCCTCAGGTTCTTCGATTTCAAACTATCCTCTTCTTTGTACAAATCGGCCAGTTGTTCACGATTCGTGGAATCTTTCCTATCGAATGGCTTTCCAGTCATACCTTCATAGTCTACACGACTGTTGAAAATTGACTTGACTATGGCATCAGTCCAGTTGTACCTATTGACGTCTGTTTCAAGAAGATAATAAATGTTATAGAACATCAGTTTATACTTAAAAATACTTACATTCATCCATGAATACTCCTTCGTCTTTTTTCAAACCTAAGAGTAGGGAGAAGTTAACCTTGCCCGGATCTTTCCAAGGGTTGAACTTGACTACTATACCGTCAACCACGGGTAGGAACGGCAAGAACATATTTCTCTGCAAAATACCAGCATTGCGTTGCTTTGCATCAATCAACTGTTCTTTTCTCATTTTATAAGATTCGAGGACCAATCCATCGGCTTTGGTTCTTCTGAAGCAGTTCAAGTAGTCACAGTAGAACGGATCGCCGATTTTTATAGTTCGACCTGTAACCCATGACTTCGGCCCGAAAGCCCAAGGTGCGAACCTCGACCCGCTCAACGCGATACCCCTTTTGATTCTAGCTTTCATGACACCGTTGATGTGGTGCAGAACGAAAGCAGCACCTAGACCTTCTCCTCCTAAAGTTATCTTCCTAGGATCACCTCCAAAATTAGGTATGTACTTAATGACCCAGTCGATGGCCATCTCCTGATCCTTGAGTCCAAAGTTGCCTCGAAAATTCACATTCTCTAAGCTTGCAAACCCTAAAAAATTTCTATTATTCCCAATAGCAAATTTAAATAAAGAATGGATCACCAAGTGGGCCAATCCGATAGCTAATGGTCACGAAGACCATCCTTTCGTCCATGAGTCGTTTAGGTTCGTAGTTGATCTTGCCACCCACCCAGGGGTACAGATTCCCATCGATCCAGATCAACACTGGCATCCTTTTATTAACCTGTTGACCTGACAACTTTAAACAGGGCTTAAATGTTAAAATCAAGTACTGACGTAAGGCTCAGGGGTGTAGACGTTTAAGCATAGGCAGTCTTCTTCACCGAACACTTTACCGTCCTTTGGGTCTACGTCCATGCAGTACACCTTACGATTCAGGTTGCCGGAATAGTCAAAACTCACCGGGTCCTATCGAATAAAAAAAAATAAGTAACCAAAAACTTTTGTTAGTTAGCTTTATTACCCTGAAACTGTTTTCCCCGACAGGTGGCTTGGCGTATCGGATCCCTTCGAATGCCATGTAATAGTTTTGACCGCTTGCCGTCGTCCTCCGGTGACCCACCATGTCTCCTGTTCCACCCAACAATTTTAAAGATGTTCGTTTCATTATTTTCCATAGCTTACCGAAGACTTCCAGGTAGCTCCAAACCGCCCAGATTATCTTCAGGCGTAACAGCAACGTTTCGTGCATGGCTTCCAACAAATCGTCTTACACACTTCATGTTTTTCTGATTAAGCATAACTAACAATGCGTAGAATCAATTACACTTAGAACGATTGTAAAATTTAATCAATTACATGCCATCCTAAACGTATTTTCATACCTCAAGCAGTTTATAAACCTCGCACGAAAAGATAGATTAAGCGATTGTTCTTTGGTAGAAGAAGGATGAGAACTGTGGAACAGAATTTTTGAGCAAACAGCACGTATTCTAGGTTTGACCTCCTGTCCCTTCTTAATAAGCACCATCAACACAAGTATCTCTTTCCATCTTTAAAGTGGCTGATAGTCAAACATGTCAGAGGCTCCTTTATCCTTTCGTCATAAAAAATGGTAAAAGACTTTTCAACTGGTATCTTGTCTGATTGTCATCCCGACCCAACATCTGGTGGGACAGAGGCATTACAATTCAACCATTGTACAATCCTTAAACAATTGGAAATATACACGTCTAGAAAAAGTAGGAGACACCTGTGAAACCGAATCCGTGAGTATTTGCTCCAAGAATGGACCTTTGCTTTTCTATTAAGCATCATCAACTTTTGTTTCAGACCTTCCTAAGAAGTACAGCTGAACTAAGCAACAACTGCCGAAAGGAGTTTTCATCTAAGTTTACAGTTTAAAATTTTAGATGATTTTCTGTTCTTTAGACCTAAAAGAAACTTTTTCCATTGCTATCCTACGGTCTAAACCGATGAACATTCCGTCCACATGGTGAAACTCCGAGACATAGGGAACATATCAGCCAGACGTCAGTAAAAAAAACACGAAAACCGGAAAAAAGTTTAACTTACATTCTTAATATATCGGGGACCTCAAACTGAAAACCCACGCCGAAAACAAAACGTTTTCCACCATAAGCAATCTACGACCCAGGAACTGTCGGAAAAGATAACCCTTCGGAAATCCTTCACGGGCATGTGATAATTAAATTAACTAAAAAATAAATAAATATTTGAGCTTTTTTCATTCAAATTGACCTTACTCCTTCTGATGTATATTATGGATGGATCTTGCAAACATCAGGATATAAATTGAACAGGAGGTACCGCAAATCAAAGTCAATTTATGGCAAAATGAGCTCATGTCACTTACTGGATCAGGAGAAGGAACAGGAGTTGGCAAGATGAAGAGGGAGCTCCTTTTAGTTACTAATCAGGAGTAGGAAAAAAAAAACAAAAAAAAACAGGATTAGTAGCTGCTCTACCACTTGAGCTATCGCGACTTCAGGAGATTTTTGGAGGCTTTTACCGTAGGCGGTCTCCTCTAGGGGGTGGTTAGCAATTCCACTTTAAACAAAACCGCGGCCGGAGCGGATCCGGTAGTTTCTACGCTGTGGAAGGCCCCTCTACTCTGGGAGGTAGAGCCTTCTCTACCTAGGGAGTGCGCGGGAGACCAGGATGATGTATTTCGGCTTAGGTATTTAGGCTTTTGCGCGCGGCATACGGTTCGATGCTTTATGCGGACCCGACCACTTGGAATGGGCAAGCGGAGAGCGAGGTTGTCTTGGCCCCTCGGGGCTGAGCTGCCTCTACACCAACGCTGCGGCAGTAACACCCTTCTGTCGTATGCGGAAGTGCGTCAGCTCTCAGCTTGAGAATCAAAACGTCCGAAAAGGCCGAACAAGCTAGTTGCGGACGTTAAAGGTCCTCATTATCCTTTATAGGACGACCGAGTATACGGGAAGCAATGTCCCTCTTTAGATCAGGAGGAGTATCTAACGTCAGAAAGAAGAAAATTGAGCTCCTTTTGATTGATCGATCACTTGTATCGCTGGCTACAGGAAGATTAGTAACAGGATTTGAAAGTAAGCAAAGTGAACTATTGTTCGTTTCGAGGAGTAGCTAAAGTCAGATGAGAGAAAAGTAAGATACTTTTATTGGGTAGACCAAGAGAAGTAAGAGGATTTGCAAACTCTGGAAAAGCTCCAAACTCGACTTGCACAAAGCGGTCACACAGTGACCTCTCACAAGTTGTCCCCACTTTTGGCCTGGCTGACACACACATCATAGCCGACGGTTGGTTGTACTTCCCGGCCGTTGCCGACGAGGCTGCAGCGCCTATTCTCCTCCAATGAACCGCACGACGCAATACAGGATCCCTTTACTCGCCGTGCGGGACTGCTGTTTACAGTACGACATCAGGTTCATGGCGACATGGCGACCAAGGTCACAGACCTTATTGTCAGATTCGTTCAAGGAAGGTAGATCAAACATCCTCATTGAAGGCGGTGTTTTCCCTCTTGAGGACCACGCCACTCTGAGGACCAAGGACAGATCTTCAATATCACGGATGCCATCTTCGACCTGGCGTTGGTAGCAAAAAAATCCCAAAAAGTAAATATTCAAAAACACAAAGCCTAAACCGAAATAAATAAAGTCTTACAAAGATAAGTCCTCTCACCTCCCCCCCAACTCCTGATACCATTTTAAGAGCTCAATTAGCTTTAGGATTAGGATAGAAACCTAGGATAGAAAGAAAATTAGAATGAGATCTTTTCAGATCCACCTCTAGGATTGCGGTAGAACCACTGGTGAGCCACCAGGATGCAAACCTTGATGTTATGAGATCATGGCGCTACCTGATAACTATCTTGATTAGGAACCCTAAGGTTACCATAAACCTTAAAACTCTTGCTTCTGCCTCAAAACCATTAGGATTCGGAACATCTTCTTTTACAGTCTGATAACCATATTGATTAGGATGCAATCCTTGGGGATCTGTGGTCATAGTACTGCCTGACAGTAGAGAATTAGGATGGATCCAGAAGATCTCTTGCTGCTCCATGATTGGCACATGGATTAGGATGGAAATCTTGAGGTTATAAAGTTTCAAGATGATGTATGATAAGTAACCGTATTAGGATGGGAGTAGACGATCTCGTGATACTGCTTGGTAAGTAATGGTATTAGAAAGAACACCTGGAGGGTCTGAGCACATGGTGCGGTTTGAGAAGTACCATGATTGAGATGACAACAGATGAGCTCATGGCTTTGCATGATTAGTATCTGAATTAGTATGGATTAAATACGGATCCCTTGATATTATGAGAAGTCTTAATTCTTAATTAGGATGGAGTCCATAAAATTTCCTTAAACCTTAAGCTCATGGTGCTGCCTCAGATGAATCAGGAATCGGATATGAACAATGTTTCAATTTGGGAAGTACCCGGATTAGAATGGAACCAGATGATCTCCTGGTCCTCCCTGATAGGTCTTTGGATTACGGTGGTACTCATGAGGTCATAATGCAGCCTGAAAGTGTACGGGATTGGGATGGATCTTGGTTCTCCATGATTAGTACGGGGGGATGGAAATGTCGAGGTTATGAACCAAGATAATGTGTGACAAATAACTGCATTAGGATGGAACTATATTATCTCCTGGTACTGCTTGATAAGTACTCGTATTTGAATGGAAATCTTGAGGTTATGAACACGTGGTGCGGTTTGAGAAGTACCATGATTGAGATAGAACCAGATGAAGATCTGGTTTAGTATTGGGACGGATAACTGACGGTTCATCAACCATGAGGTTACCGTACCAGTACAACATGTGACTGTCCAGATTTATATAAGACCTCAAGTTATTTAATCCAATTTATCAGACACCATGAGCTGATAACCTTGAGGGCTCCTAGGCAACAGGAGATTTTGTAGTTTCAGTCCTCATCCTGATACCTGTTCATCAAAAAGAAGAAACTACTCTTTCGAGAGAGATACTCATCATAGCCGTTCTCAGGAACGGGATAGTACATCTCAGTTCCACTTCCTAATAGAGAAAAAAGTCAGGGATTTCATTCCTGAAAGACTCTTCAGGAAAATTTTGTTGACAGTTGTTTTTCAACGATTTGTACCTCGCTATGATCAAATTCGATTAGCGTTTCGTTCCAGGAGAAACTGATTAACTTCGGAAAATTAAACCGATGACAAACGATCTGTTTAAGTATTGAATTATTCGTTATTTCATTTTTGACTTTATAGTTGACTGGATGGAAAATGTTTTTCGAGCTTAAGAAAAACATTTGGTTCTTCACTACATTCATTAGTTACTGGAAGGTTGCCAAGTTCCCTTCTAACCTGATAGGGGATGTGTCGATAACCATGGACGGCCAGCTGTACATGTCCTTTGAGGGGATTCGTTACGCTCAGCCTGCCATCGACGATCTCAGATTTAAAGTATAAAAGGTTTTTTTGTTTTTGTCATTGGTTGATTGTTTTGGTTTTTGGACAAAGGACCCTGTGCCTATAAATGAGATGGTTTATTTGAAGAAGAGGGTGGAGTGTTTGGAGAGGGACCCGAGTACTAGTGAATTAGTCGGAGAGGAAGACTGCCTTGTTCTCAACGTCTACACGCCTGTTCAGTTTGTCCGTTTTAACTGTCTTTCATTGATCCTTTTTTTCATGGATGTTCATTGTTTAGGAGCACAGGGTTTTTCCAGTGCTAGTTTGGATACACGGTACACCGTTCCGTGCCGGAAGCAGCCAGCAGGGCAGGTACGGCCCACAGAGGCTGATCGACCAGAACCTAGTCGTCGTCACTATGAGCTACAGGCTCGGTCCTCTCGGTACGCACCTATTGTTTCCTTTTTATATTTTTTTTCTAGCTTTTTCTAGCTTTATTTTTGATTAAGGCTTTGCGAGCCTGGGGCATAAGGAGTTATCGGGGAATTTCGGTCTCAAAGACCAACAGTTGGCTATAAAGTGGGTACTGAAGAATATAGACAGGTTCGGAGGTGATGCTGCCATGGTGACATTGGGAGGTGAAGGTCTGGGCGCTGCATTCGTCCAGTACCACATGAGCGGTGAAATATCTCGCAATATCAGCAGGGCGATCACGATAGGAGGCTCCTGGCTCGCCCCCTGGGCCTTTTCGACCACTGCACGCGTCAAGAAAGAAACCGAACGATTGGCGAATCTACTCGACTGCAGTACCTGCAACGGTACCGTCACTATATCAGAGCCCATCAGGGTTCTGCACAACGTCCGTTCAAAGGAAGGTGTCGTCCACGGGACTGTTGAACAATCCGCTTACAGAACTGGGCTCGTCAGCTGCGAACAGGCGACTGCAAGCTGCATGAGATCTCTTGATCCCAAGTTAATCGTGAAAAAAGCCTATGATATGCCGCAAGTATGACTTTATTTCTAAACCAATCGAACAGTTCTAATTTGATTATAATCAGATTTTACCTTGGGACAAGGTCATCCTGCCTTTTCTTCCCACCGTGGACGGCGACGTATTGACCAATGATCCTTGGATCAAACGCAATTCAGTACATAAATACTCCCTCCTGATGGGTCTGACAAAAAGCGAAGGATCTATTATAAAATCGAGTAAGTAAATCTTTCGATTAAATCAGACTTAATGAGCATCCGTCAATTTTCAAGTTGGAGTTATCCAAGATTGGAATGAACAAGCGTTGAAGAGCGCTTTTGACACATTCATCAACGGAGGGGTCGTAAGGGGAAGGCGGTTTCCGAAAGACACACCAGGGCTGCAAGACAAGGTAGCCACTTTGTATCAAGGCGAGGATGTTAAAGACCAGCTTGCGGATTTGGTGACAGACAGTTGGTTCATGTTTCCTGCGATGATCGATGCCATGTACAACCGGGGACGCGTCGAAGTGTTCATGTTCGCCTTCGACAACCAGAACAGTCAAATGGGCTGTACCCTGCCCAGACAGACTAACCAACAGTCCCACGGAGACCAGATGCCGTTCATGTTCCTCATAGAAAAGTGCAGCTTTTTCAAACCGAACGAACTCTATGCCAGGAACTTTTCCGCCATGATAGCCAACTTCGTCTACCAAAGGTAAACCCCACATAACACAAACGTAGACAAACCGACGAATTGAAACTTTCCAGAGACCCCGGGCTGAAACCCTACTGGGAGGACAAAAACCTGTTCACCATCAGGAACGCAATTTACAAGCCTAGCTTCTTTCAAGGTATAGACGATAAACTCTCACGCAGGTTGGAACACTGGAAGGCCCTCAACTTATTGTAGAATAAAACAGATTTGATAACGGGATTAAACGCTGATATATGCTATGAGGCAACACCATGGAAGTTTATTTCACCTCCCGTTCATACACATACCTCCTACTCCTGACACTTCTCTAGACCCAACTCATCAGAAAGCAAGGAGAACTTGTCTGACGTCATACCACATTTTAACACACTTGGTGACATCTTAGTTGTCCTTTAACACACTTCCTACTCCATTTATACTCTTACGTCCAACAAATCAGAGTGCCTCAGAAGTCCTTTGACATACCTCTTCTTAATACACTTGGTGGCTTATTACCTGTTCCTTCACACACTACCTATTCCAGTTACCCTGTTAGATCCAACAAATCAGAGTGCATCAGAACACTTCCTACTCTTGGTAAATTGCTAGACCCAACGAATTTCAAAACTGCAGAAGCTTGATGACGTCAAATCCAATAACTTCTTGCCTGTTCCTTCGTACACTTCCTACTCTTGGCACATCGCTAGTCCCAACAAAATAGAAGACCTCAGAAGCTTGATGACGTCATACCCCTTCTTAATACACTTTGTGACGTCTTACCTGTTCTTTCAGGTACTTCCTACTCCTGTTACCCGGTTGGGGCCAATAAATAAGAGCGCACAAAAAGCGTGATGACGTCATACCCCAAAGCTAATACTCTTGGTGACGTCTTACATGTTCCTTCACACACTTCCTACTCTAGGTACACGAATAGTTTGACCTTAAACTATGGGGGCTCAACCTCGATTGGGTATTATTGATGAGAAGGTCGAGTCGAACCTAAGCAAGTTAGCCTGCAAATAGAAGAATGCTGTATGGAAGACGGAAGCATTTTCTAATTACCTACGCCTAGTGGAAACTTCAATTTTACATACTCCTTATGCTGCCTTAAAGGCATCAGGTTTACCTGTTACTTGTTCTATTTGCAGCCTCAAAGTATCTGGCCTTTGATGGAAACCTTTAGGTTATGAGTTCTTGGAGTTGCCTGGTATGTACAAGGATTAGGAGGAACCTTTCAGGTTATGGACTCCTGATGATGCCTGGTAAGAATAGGAGAAAACATTAAGGGTTATGAGCGCTTGGCGTTACTTTGCAAGATGCCAAGATTAAGCACGCTCCTGTTGATGCCCCATAAGCATCTGGATTAAGAGGTTTTGAGGTTATGAACTCTTAGCGTTTTCTAAAAATTATCAGGATTGAGAAGAAAACCTTCAGTTATCGAGCCACACGAGTCATGGTCATCCATATCTACCTGGACAACTAGTTTTATTAGGATGTAAACCGTCAGGTTATGGCCTCCTGGAGCTGCCTTAAAATAGGTTTAGGATGTAAACTTTTGGCATTATGAAGGCCCGTCCGATTTGAGTTGTTTCAATCTTTGGGTGAAGGACGTGGGTGAAATTTTGATAAACTAAAGCCGGTTATCGATTTTCACAGTCGCACCGAATCAGACATGGTATATCGAACCGTCAACGTAAGTTGTTTAGTTTAAAAGAGTCTGGAAGGTCATGAAGGTAAACGGAAACACGATGGCAGCCTTCTGGGCGACATGGCATCACCTGCAGTACCTCAGGTCGTTGTTTTATGTCAAATTCGTTTCTATTTTATTACCAAGTTTGTTTTACGCAGAAGATATGAAAGGCGAGGTGTCGGCCACATACGAGGGCAATTTGTTCATATCCTTCTACGGGATCAACTACGCCTACGACCCTTGGACATTTAAGGTAAAAAGTCACTAGGATTAAAATCAGGTCTTTGGGTTGGTTTTCTTCACTCCAGGATCCGAATTATCGAGTCATGTACACCAACGAGAAGCGTAAGGTCGATTGTCTTGAGATAGACCGTTCGAACAACAGACAGATAGGACAGGAAAACTGCTTGTGCGTTAATGTCTTCACGCCTGTGCCTTATGTCAGTTCTGTTTTTTATTTATATTTATTTTGTTTATATTTATAAGTCATGCCATTAGGTCAATAGGAGCATGCCGGTGTTGGTCTGGATACAAGGTGAGGCTTTCCCGATCGGAAACAACAAAGGGAGCGTCTATTACCCGGCTAGGCATATGGATTATGGCATTGTAGTCGTTACCATGAGCTACCGCCTCGGCCCGCTTGGTAACACAATGTTTCCTTATTTTTTTCCACTTTTCTTTAATGATTTGACCTAGGTTTTGCGAGTTTGAAAATGAAATTTTACCTGGGAACTACGGACTCAAGGACCAGACGTTGGCTATAGAGTGGGTCATGGAGAATATACACATGTTCGGAGGTGATCCTCATAGAGTGACCCTCGCTGGAGAAGGCGCGGGCGCGTCTTATGTACTCTTCCACCTTAATGGGTACTTTAGGTACAGGGTGAAAAGAGGCATAGCTTTGAGCGGTTCTAGGTTCGCGCCTTGGGCGTTGTCCAGGGACAGATGGGTCAGGAACCGCACAGTCGAGCTCTTCTACGAGCTTGGCTGTTATAACGTCGACCAAATGTCTTTATACCTCAAGTGTATCGGTTTGGCCGACGTGGCCCAAATTGACTTCCGTGCAAGACAAAAAGCAAGTAATTTCTTTCTTAAGAACGCTTTTAACAATGATCTTTTACAGATATCCTCCTGGTGGAAAAACGCTAAAAGGTCCTACATACCTGTAATCGACGGTGATACTATAAAATCCGATCCTTGGGTGAATCGTTCCAAAGGGAAATTTACCCTTCTGATTGGGCTGAGAAAAGACGAAGGCGATATCGGAAGATACCGTAGTTCAAACCTTCAACTTTGTTTCTCATATGACATCCATGTTTTTTTTTAGTCTCAGGTAAGTATGACTGGGGCAAGGACATGTTTTGGAAGTTCTTTTGCCTCTATGACATCTACGTGCCTGGCAAGAGGAGCAAATGCGACGATTTTTATTTAGGGAAAAACCTCGAAAGTCTGTACAGTCCGGAGGTCGATTCGGTTCAAAGCGTGGCCGAGTTCACAGCCGACGAGTGGTTCTTATTTCCAGCCATGGTCGAAACGAAACACCACGGCGGTCCTTTAATAGGTTTCATGTACGATTACAAAATATTTCCCTTGTCGACGTGCACCAAGTACAAAGGACCATTCATGGACTTAATCGACGGTTGCCCACCTCTGGACAGGGTGAACCGCGTCTTGGCGGCCAAGCTCGCAAAGCTGATCGCGACGTTCGTCCACGAAAAGTCAGATTCCTTCATCAACCAGAGAAACAAATAATCAACCCTGTCTTTTTCCAGACAAATCGATCTTCCAACCTACCTCTACGACCGGGACGTTTTCAACATCACAGAAGCTCTGTACAACCCCGAAGCGTTCGCTGTAATCGACGAATCCATATCGAGAAGAATGAAGACATGGAAAACATTCTTATTGTCTGAACAGATACACCTATAATAATGATTATGATTATTTGTGAATAAATAAAATTGAGAAAACCATGAAAAAATTATTTTTCCAATGAACTAGAATGTAGGCGACACGAGCTTTGATGGTGTGCAGAAGAATAGCAGGGAGAAACTGGGATGTAGGCCAGAAACCTTGTTATGGATGTACACCATAATAGTAAGACCTTTACTTACATAAGGAGCTATAGCCTGGGCTGATAAAGCGGAACAAATAACCAAAAGGAAAGAACTCACAAAAATACAGAGACTTGCATGCATAACGGGAGCAATGAGAACATGTCCTACAATTAGCATGGAAAAGATATTGGGATTAATCCCCCTACATCACATGGTAGAAAGGACAGCACAGAAAACCATAATCAACTTTATCAGAGAGAAACCTCCAACAGGAATAAAACTGAAATGGAGAGACAGAAACAAACTGTGGAAAAACCATCCATCACTCATAGCTCCAAGAGATGACATGAACAGGATGTTTGAATTTAACCAAAAATTCCGAATACATCTGGGCAACAAAAAGGAATGGGAAGGAAAGGGAAATAACTCCTTTAAAATGGCACCATCCTTTGGTACACAGATGGATCTAGAACACAAGAAGGTACGGGAGCAGGAGTATTTGGACCTGGCACCAAATACTCAGAACCCATTGGAAAACACACCAGTATCTTCCAAGCTGAGATTCACGCAATTGAAAGATGTATCCAATTCAATTTAAATAAAGGATACAAAAACAAGAATATAGTTATCATGTCAGATAGCCAAGCAGCCATCAAAGCACTAAGCTTAAATACCATTAGTTCAAGGATGGTGCTGAACTGCAAAACCAAACTAAATATATTAGGTATGCAGAATAAAGTCAGCCTTTGCTGGGTCCCAGGACACATGGGAGTAGAAGGCAACGAGAAAGCGGACACCCTTGCAAGGAAAGGGGCTGCTACACCGCTGATAGGACCCGAACCCTTCTGTGGCATAGGAATCCACACTATTAACGAATATCTCAGACAGAAGGACAAAAAGAAAATGAGCGAACTTTGGAATTCACTTAATGGGCATAGACAATCCAAGAATCTTCTAACCAATTTTAGCAAGAAAGAAATCACAGAATGTGTCAAAAGAAGCAGGAACAGATTGCGAATCCTAACAGGACAGTAGATTAAATGGACATCTAAAGAAAATTGTAACAAACCAAGATGGCACATGTAGATTCTGCAAGGAAGCAGAAAAGACACCAACAACTTACTAACAAACTGCGGAGCTACTTTAGCTCGCAGGAGAAAGTGTTTTGGGATGTACAATGTGACCATAGAAGAGCTTCAACCATTAAAACCGGGCCTATTAATCAAGTTTCTTGATGAAATAGGACTCACCGATGTGCTTTAGGCAGAGAACGGGGGATACAATAGCTCTCAAAGGGCGCAGTATACCACACCCTGAAATATCACATCTACATCTACATCATCTACAACTAGAATGTAACCGGCCTCTAGTTTCCAAGGCTAAGGTACTATGACGTCGATTATGTTTATTCTTGACCCGTGAGGTATTACCAAGCATAAATCATAGTGAAGCAAAGTAATATTTTATAGTTTGATAACAGCTTGTACAACTTTTTAAAACAACTCCTGATCCTAATCGTTACCAGGTTGTACTAAGAGATCGAATATGTTACATTCTCGTCCTGTTCGGACTTCGAAGCATAAATCATAATGAAGCATGGTGATGTGTTATGGTTTCCTAACAGCTTGAAAGTTTTAAGAAACTAGTTTGTCGATGCTAGTCTTAAATTTTATTAGTAATAATCGATTCCGCGGTTGTTTAGTCACGGGATGTAATTGGACATGGATGGAATCGATAAAAAAAAGGCGAGATCCTTTGTTAATGCCAAACATGAAGTCTGTCAATTTCACATCAGTGGCTACGATGCTCATGTCGTACCGTCATGCCGAATACAACTGTGAGGTCATGACAAATTGTATGTTTATCTTTATTTAATGCTTTCTTTTTAGTGGGTGGGTTTAAGGGTGATGTTGTTCAGTCCCCAGGAGGAACTCTGCACTTAGTCGTATCCGGTATCCGCTATGCCAAAGCTCCAATCGGGATGCTTAGCTTTATGGTAGTTATTTTTTTATATTTTTATTTATTTTTTTATAAAAAGTTTGTTCTAAGGACCCTGAGCCTGTCACGCAAAACGTCAATGTAAGACGTAAAGTGGACTGCTTGGAGGCGAACCCTTTGGATGGTAGGTTAGTAGGAGAGGAGGACTGCTTGTACCTCAATATTCATACTCCAATGCCGTTTGTAAGTTTGTTTTTTTTTTAACTTTAGGTAGGTTGATTTTATAGTCATGTTTGTTCTTAGAGAGGTAAAAGCATGCCGGTTTTGGTTTGGCTCCAAGGGAGGGAATCAGTCGTCGGTACGAGCAGGAGCAGCATCTACGACCCGGGGCGTCTTATAGATCATGGGATTGTCGTTGTAACAGTCAGCCATCGTCTCGATGTTCTTGGTATTGTATTAACTACGTTTGTCTACTTTGTACTGTTTCATTTAAAAATATTCCGCAGGATTCTGCAGCGCCGGGATTTATTCATATTGGGGCAACTTTGGTCTTAAGGATCAACAGGTCGCGATCAAATGGGTCATCAAGAATATACGCATGTTCGGAGGCGATCCGGAGGATATAACCTTAGGTGGAGAAGGTTCGGGTGCATCTTACGTGCTGTTCCACCTCAACGGTGTTTTTTCTGGTCGAATAAGAAAGGGGATCGCACTCAGCGGTTCCAGGTTCGGTCCGAGGTCGCTGACCGTTAAGAAAACGTTCCACCAGCTGGTCAACGATTTTCACTTTTGGTTCAGCGTCGGTTGCAACGGTCTTACCTGCATGAGGAAAAAGACAAGCGAAGAGATTGTAAAATCGGCGTATAATATCAACATCAACGTAACCAAGATATGCAAGGAGAAACAAGTGGCTTATTGCAGAAGAGTCCTGAGACGGTTGGAATGGGAGAAGCAGTTTCCTATGTTCAACCCGATAGTCGACCTTACGACCATCGTCGCAAACCCTTGGTGGGATAGAGCCAAAAGAAACTTTTCCCTTCTCTTAGGTCTAAAGGACGGAGAAGCATCTGACATGTTGAACTGTAAGTCTATACACAAAGATATACCAGACCCTCACTATCATTACATCCATCAGATGGCTACAGTTTCAAATGGAACTCTGAAACAATTTGGCAAGCCTCCCACGGCAATTTGGTCACCTATGAGGAAGCATCTGAAAAAGAACTGTCAAAATTATACCTCCCGGGTGAAAAGAGGAAGAGAAACTTGTGGAAACTTCTGAGCAACTTGTGGTACATCGTTCCTGCCATGGTTGAGGCGCATTTTCATCAAGGACCTTTCGAAGCTTTCATGTATAACTACGAAACCTTCGGTGCGACTTTAAACTGCACATTGCCTTACAAGCTACCGTTCATGTATGTCCAAAACGACTGCCCACCATACGACCAAAGGTACGAACCTTTGGCAACACGATTCACCCAAGTGGTCGTCAGATTCGTCCAAGGAAGGTCCAAAACAAGGCACACAGATTAAAAAAACTCATAAACGATAATGAACTATTTTTTGCAGAAACCCTGGGCTGAAATCTCACACGGAAGACTCTGACATCTTCAGAGTGACAGAGAGCCTCCAGGCCAAATACACTTCAGGACAGCTAAGCAAAATGAGCATGGAAATATACAAATCGAACATTTTGTTCGCTTGATCAAAATAGAAAATGTACCACTTAAGCAATTAAATACATTCAAATAACTCAGTCTTTTTATCCTGATAAATTAAGGCAACTTTTTCCTCAAGGAATAACAGATATTCATTATTTATTATTATTGATTATATACATAACCAGCTCAGACCTATCCAGATGGGGAGAAAAAATCATCATAGGATGAACATCATCACATCGACCTAGTTGCTTCTGTGCCCTGTATACTCTGATTCACAAAAATACGTGTTTTTCTCGTTTTCCTCAAAGTCTGACATAGACTTGATGGAATACCAAACAGCCGTGGATCTTTCTTGGTTTATTTCCATAGGTACCAGAACCTGATCCATGTTGAGTCATGGACCATATCTGACAAAATCCTGATACCATGGACTATCAACAGGAGCTTTCACGGCCATTTGTCGTACAGCTAACCGTGAAGGCAAAGAAGATCTGATAATCACGTAACGGTTAAGAGTGTACTATATGACCTTTGACCATGGACGAAGATTGGATCGAGTTTGGCTTGCCGGATCGCCTTGGCTGTTCTCAAGCCGGACTTTATCAAGTCATTCAGTACTTGATCAAGCCCCGTTCTGACTTTCCAGCCGCCAGAATCAAAGTGACATGGGTATTGGCTTCTGTTCTTCCCTAATTTACCTTCATCCAGGAATCGTGTTATAAACAAATTCCCTGTTTTGGTTTATAAAACTTTATCTAATCTTGAAATGGGATGGATTTTTATATTGGATAAAACTGAACCGGCCAGTGGAAGAATTGCGCTGTTTGTTTTTATGACCAAAGGTTTCCGATTATTTGAAGACGAGTTATCAGATATCATCGGAAGATAGTAGTTCGAGAAGACGTTCGTCTCGATTCCTCTTGAAAATAAAATAGAAAATGAAGTACCTGCAGCTCTATTTTCCCGTTAAAAGGACAAGGGGGCTGGGTGTAAAGAGATTCAAAAGCCCCCACGTTAATCTCCCATAGAAACACCGCCACCGGGGGATAACCTTCGGCCCTAATCCGTTCAAGATTAGATTAAAGAAGACCGTTTCCTCGTTTATAAAAGGCCCGGGTTGGGACCTGCCGGACGTCAGTCGCCAACATGAACCCGATCTACTTCGTTTTCGCAGCCATCCTCGTCGTCCAGGTAAGAAACGGCAGCATTTTCTCCCCATTTACAAAAACACTCCCACAACACGACAAGCCACCGATAGAACATAAAAAGCATTTAAAACAAATGATAAAACTAAAATACAACCATGATCGAGTTATATACGATCATTTCTTTATACAAGGCCATAAATTGTCTGAGTAGACGATCGTGTTTTCGTCTGTGATGACGGTTTATACGATCATTTTCCATCATGATCAAATTATTCATCCATGAACAAGTAATCCTTAAAACAACAAATAGTTCATCCATGGACCATATTTTCGTTCATGGTCGGGTTTTATTCGTCATATTTTCCTCCATGATCAGGTTTTTTGTCTATGACCGAGTTTTTCGTCCATAATCGGGTTTTTCAACTATGTTCGGGTTTTATTCGTCATATTTTCCTTCATAATTGAGTTTTATTCTTCATATTTTCTTCCAAGATCTGGTTTTTCGTCCTTAATCAAGTTTTTAGTCTATGATCGAGTTTTAATCGTCATATTTTCCTCCATGGTTTTTCGTCCTTAATCGAGTTTTAGTCGTCATATTTTCCTTCATAATTGAGCTTTATTCGTCATATTTTCTTCCAAGATCAGGTTTTTCGTCTATGATCGGGTTTAATTCGTCATATTTTCCTTCATAATTGAGTTTTATTCGTAATATTTTCTTCCAAGATCGGGGTTTTCGTCCTTAATCATGTTTTTAGTCTTTGATCGCGTTTTAGTCATCATATTTTTCTCCGTGGTTTTTCGTCCATGATCGAGTTTTTTGTCCTTAATCAAGTCTTTGGTCTATGATCGAGTTTTAGTCGTCATATTTTCCTCCATGGTTTTTCGTCTATGATCGGGTTTTTCGTCCTTAATCAAGTTTTTAGTCTATGATCGAGTTTTACCTCTTTAATCGGATTTTTCGTCTACGATCGATTTTTAGTCGTCATATTTTCCTCCATGGTTTGTCGTCTATGGTCGGGTTTTATTCGTCATATTTTCCTCCATGATCGGGTTTTTTGTCTATGACCGAGTTTTTCGTCCATAATCGGGTTTTTCATCTATGTTGGGGTTTTATTCTTCATATTTTCTTTCAAGATCGGGTTTTTCGTCGTTAATCAAGTTTTTAGTCTATGATCGAGTTTTTCGTCCTTAATCGGGTTTTGTTCATCATATTTTCCTCCATGGTTTTTCGTCCTTAATCGGGTTTTAGTCGTCATATTTTCCTTCATAATTTAGTTTTATTCGTCACATTTTCTTCCAAGATCAGGTTTTTCGTCTATGATCGGGTTTAATTCGTCATATTTTCCTTCATAATTGAGTTTTATTCGTCATATTTTCTTCCAAGTTCGGGTTTTTCGTCCTTAATCAAGTTTTTAGTCTATGATCGAGTTTTAGTCGTTTTAGTCCATGGTTTTTCGTCCATGATCGAGTTTTTTGTCCTTAATCGGGTTTTTCGTCTATGGTTGGGTTTTATTCGTCATATTTTCCTCCATGATCGGGTTTTATTAGTCATATTTTCTTCCAAGATCGGGTTTTTCGTCCTTAATCAAGTTTTTAGTCTATGATCGAGTTTTAGTCGTCATATTTTCCTCCATGGTTTTTAGTCTATGATCGAGTTTTACGTCTTTAATCGGGTTTTTCGTCTATGGTCGGGTTTTATTCGTCATATTTTCCTCCATGATCGGGTTTTATTCGTCATAATTTTCTCCATGATCGGCTTTTTCGTCTATGATCGAGTTTTTCGACCGTAATCAAGTTTTTAGTCCATGATCCAGTAGTTTACATTTTCTTCCATGACATAGTTTTTTATTCGTCATATTTTCCTCTATGGTTTTGCGTCTTTTTTTTCTCTAGAGTTTTTCGTCCGTAATCAGGTTTTTATTCCATGATCCAGTAGTATAGGATATTTTCTTCCATGATAGTTTTATTCGTCACATTTTCCTCCATGATCGGATTTTTCGTCTATGATCGGGTTTTATTCGTCATGTTTTGCTCTATGGTTTTGCGTCTATGATCGAGTTTTTCGTCCGTAATCAGGTAATCCATGACCCAGTAGTATACGATATTTTCTTCCATGCTAGAGTTTTATTCGTCATAATTTTCTCCATGATCGGCTTTTTCGTCTTTGATCGAGTTTTACGTACATTGATCGCGTTATAAGATCATATTTTCGTTCAAGAATGAAAAATTGATTTTCCCTGTCTTTATCCTTTGCAGTGTAGTGCTGAGACGCCGGTCGATACCCTCCAGGAGTTCGTGAAGCAAGGCCAGGCAAAGATCGACGAGGCAGTGGACGCTTTCAAGAAGGAGGTCGGCCTCTCCAAGAACCCCGACGGCGCCGAGATCGTCAAAGTCGTCCGGGAGCAGAACGACAAGCTCTTCGCCAACTTTGAAGAGGCGAAGAAAAAACTCGAGGACCAGCTCAAGTCGAGGCCCGAGTTGAACGATGCCGTCGCACAGGTAAAGGCGAAGCTGGACGAGCTGGGAGCCGACCTGAGGGAAAAGTCACCGGTCGCCTTCGACAACGTCCAGAAGTACGGGGACGAGCTGAAATCCTTTTGGGAGACGTTCACCCAGAGCATGGAACAGCAGTACAAGAGCTTCACCAAGAAGGGTGGCAAGAGAGATGAGGTGGAGAACTTCTTCAAGGACGTCATCGACAAGGGAGCATCCCTCGCCAAAGAACTACAGGTAACCAATCAATCAATCCTCCATTTAGCAACAGTTAACTAACAATTTTCTTCTTCTTTTTTTTTTGTACAGACCAAAGTCGAAGAGACTGTCAGGAAACACCAAGAATCAAATTAAACGGCAAGAAATATCTACAAACATGGTTTTTTTATAAGTTTTATAACTCAATAAACGCAATTTTGCAATGAAAACACATTATTTACATTTCACAAAATATTTCTCATTGACGACTTTACAACACATCATCAGTTAATACCAAGAGTTGGATAACAGTGTAATGTGTTGTGTTTAAACAAAACTATTGACGAAAGAGAAGACAAGACGAAGTCCTCAGTAATGATGACGTCATGAGATAAAAGTATCCTGGTATGCGAGGTTAGGTGGTTAACTTCAGGAATAAAGACGATCGAGGATAACCTGTCATGCAATGTCATCTTATTACATAGTTATCTGTTTATTATTATTACTTCCTTTTGTTTAAATTGGATATGCGTTGTTATCCTTAGTAATAATGACGTCCTGGGAAATGCACCCAAGTTCCTCGGTAATAATGACGTCGTTAAATGACGATCACCCCTGTTATCCATGTTACCTTAATAATTATGACGTCATGAGTTGGACGCCATGTTGGCATTCAAGGACGAGTTGTTACCCTCAGACTTAATTAGATGGTGGCCATACGGGTATGCGTGGTTCCCTCAATAATTATGACGTCATGAGATGGAGATCATCTTGGCATTCGAGGATGAGTTGTATCCTCAATAAACGTCATTAGATAGAGATTACAATGCCATGCGATGTGATCCTCAGTAATTATGACGTAATTAAATGGTGACTACTCCTGTATGCACGGTTTTCCTTAGTAATCATTTATCCTCAGCAAAGTAGTTATGAAGATGTCATTAGATGGAGATTACACTGACATGTTATCCTCAGTAATTATGACGTCAATAAAAGGTGGCTATCTCTGTATGCATGGTTTACCGTAATCATGTTGTCATTAGATGGAAGCCATCACCTTGGTATGCGACATGAGTTGTTATCCTCGGTAAAGTAGTTATGAAGGCGTCATTTTATGGACGTTACAATGGCATGATGTTACCTCAATAATTATGACGTAATTAAATTGTGACTAATTTACCTTTTAAGCACGGTCTACCTTAGTAATCATGACGTCATTAGTTGGAAGCCCCCATCATGGCATGCGAGGACGAGCTGTTATCCTTGGTAAAGTAGTTAAAGACGCCATTAGATGGAGATTACAATGGCATGCGTTGTTATCCTCAGTAATTATGACGGCATTAAATGGTGGCTACCGCTGTATGCATGGTTTACCTCATTAACCTCATTAGATGGAAGCTACCTTGGTACGCGAGGACAAGTTGTTAACCTCAGTAAAGTAGTTATGATATGACGACGTCATTAGATGGAGGTGACTCTGGCATGCGTTGTTATCTTCAGGTAATATGACGTCATTAGATGGTGCCCACCATGGTATGCGACAATGATATTGCAGAGAATATCAACATGATGCCATTGCGGAGACAGCCGCACTATTCAATGATGTGTTAAACATGACTATGACGTCATTTCTCGATTTGATAAAATTTCCAATATAAATTACTGTTTTTATAAATGTTTTATTTATTTGTTTGTTATACACTCTGCCATTTTTTCTCTCATTCGTCGGCCAAGGTGGAAAACATTTACATATTAGGCTAATAGACCGGTCACTTCAACCTGAGGCACTTTTGGATAAAGTCAACCTGAAACAAAACAAAAATGGACGGATGTTAAATGGATATGAAAAATGGGTGGATCATCAGCCTTACCAGTTCTCCAACTTCTTTCTTCACCCTCTCGCCCATATTGTGGACCCCGACGGCTATCTTGTCCTTGTGGTACTTGGCCTTAGTCATCTGCCATTTGAGAAGCCAATTGAGTTTGGCGACCGCGTACTGCACCCTGTAGGTCTGTTCGGCCACTCCTGCCTTGACCTTGTAGTTGATGTTGGCCACTGTGGACTGGGCCGCTTGATTGACACGGCATTTCATGCCTTTGACCTCATTCTTTATGTTGTTGACGGCTACGTTGGTCCTGTCCTTGTGGTACTGGATGTTCTGATCAATCGCGTTCATAGTACACTTGGCGTTCTGAACCGTCTTATCCGTGTGGTACTTAATGTGTGAGGTGACCAGGTCTTTTTTGTGCTTGATACTTTGTTCTATATTGTCGACAGTGCACTTTGTGGTCTGTAACGCCTTGCCGGCGTGATACTTGACGTTATTGGCTACGAGGTCCTTCTTGTGTTTGATGTTTTCTTCTAGGTGGTTTATCTGGCACTTGGCGTTCGTGAATATGTTGTTCAGGTTGACGGCCGCCTTGTCCTTCTGATACTGAACGTTTTTGCCGATCTCGTTGACGTGGTACTTGGTCGATTCGACCGCTTGCGCGATCGTATTGGCCGCCTTGTCCTTCTGGTACTTCAGTTGAGTCTCGATTTCTTTGACGTTCGTCAGAGCAGTGTGGAGTGCCTTGTCTTTCTGATACTTGAGAGTGTTGGCGAAGAGGTCCTTCTTGTGCCTGAGAGTCTCTTCCAGGTTTTCCACGTTGACCTTGGCCGCCTTGACGGCGTTGTTTATCGCGATGTGCGCTACCTCCTTTTGGTATTTTATGTTATCCTCGATGGATTTCACGTTGCACTGCGCGCCTTGTATCGCTCTTTGCTTGTTGTACTCCAAAGCGGCTATCGCTTTGTCTTTCTGATAAGCCAGGTTCTTCGCCAAAGCGTCCAACTCGCATTGGGTCTTCTGGGCGGCCCTTTCTATCTCGCAACGGCCTTTTTCCAAAGCGAGGACTAAATTTGACCTCTGGGCGCAGTTGTTCTCCTTGGGCGAGCAACCCTGGGTGCAACAGGACTCTTGGCTCGACTGGCAGCCTGTGATGGTCTGCTGGCCCTGTGAGTATTCAGGCTCTTGCTGGGAGTAACTCTGCTGCGCCGCGCTTTCTTGCTTGCAGTTGCATTTGCAGCAGCTACAGTCTTCGTACGACCCGGACATCATGGGAGAAGGCGGACACGACTTCTTCTCCTGGCACCCCGTCGAGTTCTGGCACTTGTCGCTCTGCATATTAGGCTTGGTTTTACTAAAATTGACGAAACCGTTTTCGATCACGTCCGGCACCTGTTCAGGCAAGTTGTAACATTTTTCTGACGGTACTTGATCTTCGATCTTAGTAGGTAGGTCCGGTTTATCAGGGAATATCCTCACCTTGGGTATATCGGGTTCGGCTGGTTCGGGCAAGACGGCGGGCGGCATGACCCACTTTTTCTCGCAAGTTTCTGGCTCTTTCGAAATGGGTTTAGGCAGGACGTCAGCGTCCTTGACGGCGACACAGTTCATCGTGCATGCCTCGCAGTTGTGACCTTCGACCTCGGCCGGTTTTACATACCCGGTCGGCCTTGTTTTAAAAATGCGCGTGGGTTTCCATCGCTTCACTTCATTCCCTTCAGGGGGTGGTTCGATTTCTTTCATGTTGACCTTGACCCTGATGAAATTCTTTCTCTTCCCGCGTGGAAGGACCGTGCCCGATGAGCAGTCCTTGTCCCTGCACCAGTCCCTAGTCGTGCAGCCCGACCTGTACTCATCGCAGCCCCATTTGACCTCCGGCGTTGTGCCTTCGTTGATCCGCCGGTACCCTGAGCCCTGTCCGTGCACCCCTGGACACGGGAGCGCCGCCGCTCTCGGCTGGCCTTTCACCGTGTAGTGATTCATGATATCGTACTTCTGGCTCGCTGACGTCCTCGGATTGCAGCTGATGAAGCGGACCGAATCGTAAATGGGGCTCGGAGCGCGGCGGTACGGCTTCCTGGGGCAAATCAAGAAATTGAAGGACCTCACCGTCCTCGGAGATTCGTCTTTGGGTCGGGTCGAGAGTACCCTCACCTTCAGGCAGTCCCTCCCCTCGGTTCTCGACCTCCTGGCGCAATTCCCTCCTTGGAACAATTCGCCGCTCTGGGACGATTCGGACGGCGTCGGCATCGCCGTCTCGGGGTCCAATACTGTATACCTCTTCATCGGAATCGTGTCGCATGTTTGCATCCGCAACTAGAACAAAACAAAACAAATGCACAAAAGAAAAATAACAAAGAAAATCATCTAAAACAACATCCGACCGATTCCCAGCCAAAAACAAAATATAATCCACATTTATAGGTTATGTGACGACGTTGTTACGTCATTAAAAGCAAGAGAGGGCTCAACTTTTATTCGGTTATACCCATTATGACGATTTTTTATTATTCTACGTCAAAGTGATTAAATTTACAAAGTCAGATATTGCCTTTATTACTAGGTAGAACTAGTATGCGTTTGTAGGTTGTGTTACGTCAACACGACGTCATTGACACAGATTTCCATTTCAGCAGTCTCATAGCGAATCCCATGGCGTACATGAAAACTCAGAGTTACTATAATCAAAATTTAAAAAGTCAGATTGCGACGATTATTACAAGGAAAGACAATCCGCAATCGGTTATAGTACGTCATCGCTGTGTATGTTTTACGTCATCGATGAAAGTGAAATAGCTCGTGTGACGTCATCGTTTTTACATCTTAGGTAACCGATGAACGTTTAAAGGTTACGTGATGTCATTATTTACATTACATTAATTGTGTGGACGTGTTTATCTTATGAATGAAGGTGTTTAAAACGCTGTGATGTCATCATTTTGTACGTGTTACCTCTTGGATTAAAGAGTTTATAGGTTATCGACGCCATGTTTATTTTGTTAGATCATCGATGAAAGTCTTTATGGATTATGTGATGTCATTATTATGTACGTTTTTTACCTTATCAATGAAAATGTTTAAAGTTAAGTGATGTCACCGTTGTGTACGTGTTACCTAATGTATTAAAATGTTTACAGATTATGCGTCGCTCTGGTGTTTATTTGTTACGTCATTGTTGAAAGTGTTTAAAGATTATTTTACGTCATTGATGATAGTGCTATAGCCTTCGTTACTACATCGTGGTTTACGTCAAGGATGAAAGTGTTTGTACGTTATGAGAGGTCATCGATGTGTTTGTGTTACTTTATTGATTAAACGTCATCGACAATGTGTCGCCATTATTCGTATGTATTTAACGTCATCTTAGATCGTGTTTAAGAGTCTTGTGCAGTTATCGTAGTGTCTTACGCTGGTTTATGACCTGTTATTACCAGGAATACAGTCTGTTTTTATAGTTCATGTGACGGCATTGATAAAGGTTCAAACTTATTCACCTTTATCGAGGCCATCATGAAGTTTATGAATGTTCCTAGATTAGAAGTTTTTTTTGTATAATTACCGGTCGTAATAGGCAGAGGGTGCGTGCTTTCTCGACGACTGGTAGATGGCCGAGGAGCCGCGTCCTCGCGATCTTTTCGAGCATATCAGAAATCTTCCTCAGCCACTCGCAGAAGGCCCAAGGTCGATATGGTCTCGTCTCGGGGAGGTCTCACCCGGAGGCATCTCGTCCAACGGAGGCCGGGTCAAAAACAAGCGAGGTCGCGCGGGCCGAGCGAGATGTATAGCCGGCCCCCACCCGCCATACTCAGGCTGTTCACGTATCCAAATCGGTACATTTTCCCGGTGTCTTATTTGCAATTTTTTGAACACGTCCTCTCGCGGCCCGAATCGAAGGCGGTCCGACCTGGTGGAAAGAGGGAGGAAAAAACGGAGAAAAACCAATTCAAAAGTGTTTCTCTAGTGTAAATTGGAAATTTGAAAAAAGTCACATGTTTTCTTTCACCACCCGATACCATTTTCGGGCCGGGATGAAATGAAGAAATTTGTCTTCCCCGGGCTTTTCGGCCAGTCTCTTTGTATTTTTTTACGATGGAAGATTGGGCCGGAGGAGGCGGCAGTCCGTCTTCGGACGGCCACATAGCCGACGCGTCCAGGAAAGTCCGATCGGGACAAAAATTGTTCCATTATTCCATATGAAAAAACAAAAACAAAAAACACAAATGTGAAAAAACAAGGTTTTCAGGTCAAGATAAAAAAAAAGGGAAAAGAAAGCTTTGCTATGCTCAGGGTCCTTTCTAAGGCGCTGGCCAGGCATTTACAGAAGTATCCTGATGAGGGATTCTCCTGCCCGGCCGTGGTATTTCAATTTTTAACTCCGGGCTTTGTTTTGTTATATTTTCTTTAATCTTTGTTTTTGTTTGTTTTGAAGCCGAATTGCGTGAACAGGTTTGGCAATGCTCAATGCCAGCGCCGGCGGGAGTCGACCCGGTCTCCGTGTAGGGGCTCAGAGAATCTCGAATCCTTCACGCCGCAGTTGGAGAAACACCTACACGTCAAGAACACGTACATACCGGACATCGTGGCGGGTATGCAGTCGGTAGCGAAGAAGCGATACGAGGGGGGTGAGTCTCGTAGGCCCGCCAAAGCAGAACAGCACGCCGTGAAGGGCTCTTCGAACGGGAAAAAGAAGAAGAAGCAGGAAAGATGCGCCGGTACGACGCCCTTCCCGTCGTCCTCAAAGTGCCCCGTACAGGTCGAAAGGATCAAGCAGAGCCTGTCGAAGAGGGAGGAGTTGAGGAAGAAGTCTAAAAGGCCTGAAGCCATTAGCAGGCCCAAGACGAAAGAAATGGAGAAGTGCGAGCCTGTCGAGTGCAAAGCAAAGTCTAGGCGCAAAGAAGAGAGCAAGTGGGAACGGAAAGACGAAGGCGGAGATCCGCCCAAGCCTCCCAAACCCGAAAATGTAGAGAAGGTCGAGAAGAAAGATTCGAACGACTGTTTCGACAAAATCATGTACGGTTGGGCCAACCTGGCAAAGGAGATGAACGAAAAGCCGAAGAAAGAAGCGCTCGTCCAGACCGGCGAAGGACCGCCGATGAAGACGCACGAAGAGGTGCCATGCCAGACGGGCGAAGGACGGCCCATGAAGACGCACGAAGAAGTGCCATGCCAGACAGACGAAGAACTACCTCCGAAGATGCGCGTCAAGCCGAAGCCGAAGAACGACCAGCTCTGTTACTCCTGCATCGAAGAGCTTTGGAAGGGTGGCCATGGTGGCGACTGCAGGACGCCCCTTCCGGCCGACAGCCTCCAGAGGATGGTGAAAGATCAGTCGGATCGTCTGGCCGGGAAGCTTGACCTACTGGGACAAAAGATTGAGAAGGACATCAAAGACATGGTGAGTATACTATAATATCTCAAGAAAACAAAAACAATAAAAAACTATTTCAGTTGGTCTCCTGGGAGGTGTCCGCCAGGAAGGCGAAGAGGGCGATGGAGGACGTCGAGAGGTGTCAGGCCGTCGATCGGGCCCAAGACATCAAGTCGACGTCGACGGGGTCTCTCGAGGATTGCCCATATGAAGTACAAAACAAAGTGGGACAAAGCCGGTCGGACTTGTCCTACAACGTAATTCCAAAAAACACTCTTGCTTTCCAATCCTGCATTCCCACAACCATCAGTTTTTGTTCGCAGGGAAGCTACGAAAGTGTCCCAGAAAGCGAAAATCTGTCGCAAAAGGTAACTAACATCAGTACAAAACAATCTATCCTAATCTAACGGATAAAGGAGTATCATTGATGACGTAAAGAATATAATAATGATGATGTAACAATGTATATACGAGTTTATATGTTACACATTCTTAAGCTAACCTAGGCACAGTGAATCGTTTGTTATGTTTATCATGTCATCTCGATGACTCAAGCTGATACCTTCTCCAAATCCACATCTGTCCCATACAATTATCTGGTTATCACATTGAGTTTTGAATTAAGTGTTGAAAAATTAATTGATGATTGGTTAAAGGAGTCAAGATCTTCGGTAACATCGTGTCAAAAAGAAGTACAAGCCTCGGAGCAACCTTGGTTCCAGGACGCTCAGAGCAGGCTAGTCAGCATGTTACAGCGGGTGAGGACGGCGGTGAACAAGACAAGAGCGCTGCCTAGCACCATGTCGCAGCATTCCAACTCGACCATATCCAGGCCTTATTCGTCGACGAGCAACGACAGTTTCGCTCAGAAGAAAGAGATCGAGGAGCTGTATGGACTTATTTCCGCCAAGGGTGAGATCATCGCTAAAGACATTCAGGTAAGGGTTTTGTGTATTAAGTTTTTTGATTTCTTGTTAATGTTTTTCGTTTCTTATGTTCAGAACAGGATCAAAAAAGCTCTGAAAGAATTGAGAAGCTGAGCGGGGAAAAGCATAGAGAGGGCAAAGCTTAAATAAAAATGTTCAAAACGTTTGTTTTTTCTTTGGTGTCGTTTTTATTTAAGGTCAGGCGTTTAAAGTAAAAAGAGTTTGTTTTTGTTTAGATAATACAGGTTCCCTTTATTTTCGAACACGGTTCCAGGTCCCGCCCTGGGATTATCCTCTGGAGAGGCGGATGCAAGCTGACGACGTTGTGGTACATGTAGTTCAAGCAGTGTTTGGTACCGCATCCTTCTTGGAGCTCCCGCCTCATCCTGTACGGCTGTGTCACCCCGTACCTAGGCACATTGTAGTAACTAAGTCGGTACCGGTCCGCCGATTGATTGTGCGAGCAGTGAACCTCGTTGCCGATGCAGGCGACCTTGACGTCGAGGGATTTGGCCATGAGGTTGCCCGCGTCGAGCTGTTTCAGGATGACCCTGGAGGTGGCTTCGCTGATCTTGTTGCCGAATATGAACAGGGCGAGGAGCGGATATGGCTTGCGGACCGTGTATATGATGTCGGCGACGCCGTCGTCCCCAATCCTGTTGTGAGACAGGTCGAGCAGTTTGACCTGGGAGCCGGGCAGCTTGAAGGAGAGCGCTCTTGCACCCGAGTCGCCGATGTGGTTGTGCGAGAGCATGAGCACCTTCAGAGGCGCTCCGTGTTCGAGGTTCATCGCTATGATCTCAGCGCCATAGTCTCCGATCCTGTTGCATGACAGGTCCAACAACTGGAGCGTGCAGTTCTTCCAAAACCCGGAGAAGAGCTGGACCATGTCGTGGTCGCCCAGACCATTTTTCTCGATGTGCAGCTCGACTATGTTGGAGTTGATCCGGAGCAGGTCCCCGAAGAGGGTCGCCACGTGTTTGGTATGCTCGCCGTAACCCGGTTGACCGAGGAGACGCGACGCGTCCAGCCTCCTCAACGATCTCGACTGGAATATCGCCTGTATCATCCAGGGGAGGGTGAGGACCGTCTGGTCGGTCTGGGAGATGTCCAGGTGGTCGAGGTTTTTGAACATGATCAGGAACGACAAGTACTCGCCGGACTTGCGCCCTAGGAAGTTGCCATTGAGCCTCAGTGACTTCAACGTCGTATTGGCCGCTGTATCGATGACGTCGCTGGACAGTATCTCGGTTATGTTGTTGCACATAAGGTTCAGGCCTACAATGGAGCTGTTTATGCTCAAGAAGCTTGTCAAAAAGTGTAGGCCTTCGGATGTGATCTGGTTGTAGGCCAAATTGAGATATTTGATTTCTGGGTGATCCATCAAGTAATGGCAAATCTTAGGCAGGTCGCTGTTTATCACTCTCCTCCTGCGGAACAAATAAAATAACTTTTATTACACACAAAAAAAAATTATAAAAATTTGTTCTTAATGTAATTATGAGTCCGATAATGTAATATAAAATGTTCTTAATGTAATATAAACGTCACGATGATGACGAAACGGATGAGTACAGTGAATTAATGGCGTAGCATGTTCAAAACAATAGCATCACATGAACTTCAAATTTTTTCACCCCGGCTATACTTTGAAATAGCATAAAAGTCATCATCATCATGATAACTATCGTGAAATGGGAACAGCCTCCGGGAAAAAATAAAACATTGACTTAGTGTCATAATGAAGGTCGTGATGAAATCAAACTGTAAAACCGGCGATAACTTAACTCGTAATGACGTCATAAAACAAATAAATGCGGTCATAGATGACTATTTAACAATGGCGTCACATGTTCATAGATCAATTAACACGTTGTGACAATCTCGTCACAAACCTACAGTTACACTCTAAAGAATCTATTTCATAACACGTAAGAAACAATGACGTCATATAACCTTTAAGTGGCGTCACGTGACCTATAACACGAGCTTCGATGACGTATTTTCACGATACTCCCGAGTGAGGCGTGATGAATGTTATATTTAAAAAATAAATGTATGGGTCAGAATACCCTATTCTTTGTTGGAGGTCGGATCCAACAAGGCGTAGCTCGCCGTTCTTGCAGGATATCACGAGTGTCACCTCCCGCAGGTGGAGCAGGTTTTCGAGTTCCGTGCGTCCCATCTCTCTCGTCAGGCGTACCGTGCTCGTCCTCCCTTCCTTCACCTTCTCCCATCCGAGAGCCCTGAACTGGTTCAGGTCGAACCCTTTCGTCACGAGTATGTGGTCGAGCATGTTCATCGATGTCTTCAAGTTGTACTGGGTCGCGCGTCTCATCATGTCGGTCATTTCGCCGTCGCTCAGGTTGAAGCTCATATCGATCGATTTTCTATCATCCCTGCCGGGCGGATAAAAAGGATTAAGGTGTTTAAAGAACGCGTTTGAAAAACTGACTTGAAGAATAGTTTGGCAGAGGCTACGCTCCCGAAAGAGACAGCGCGCGTCGACCCTTTAGACGACTGGCGGAAGCTGGACGGTGTCGATCGCCTGGTCGAAATGGACCTATCGCCGTCTCCGTCCTGGAGAGACTTTTCGACGGTCAGCTTGTCAGAAGAATAGCCCTTGATGGTCGAATGCCTAGTGGAACGATAGACGTCTTCCCCTGTGACCGTCGTGTCACCTTCAGACACGACATCCTGCCCGTAGCCCAAATCTTAAAAAAAAAAAAAGCACATAGTTAAAAGACGTGGGCCGAGTTAACCTATATTTACCTGCGAGCTTTTCATCCCAGTCGTAGCAGATGGCGATGATCTCCTTCTTGTTGTGCAGGTTGAAATCTGAAGCGCTGTCGTTAGCGGTCGACTGGACGCTCTGGATCGTCCGTTTGTGGTATGGCGTTTCTTCCTTGTTAGTGTCGTCATTGAAGATGTTCAGCTTGCTCAGGACCGACGCAGGAGAGAACATCCGACCGATGTTCATCCTCGGGGATATGCTTGACGTGAAGCGTGGCTGGAAAATTGAGAAAAAAGCGAAATACGCCGGGAAAAAGCCCACCTTTGGCCTACCTTGATGTGATCGTGTGATGGCAAAAGGTGCGAGTAGGTCACTTTGGCGTACGGCCTCGAGGCCGAATGATCGAACCCGCCGTCGATGCTTCCTGAGCTGTCGTCCTTCATCTTTAACAAACTGAAAATAAACTTGACCAAAACCAAACGGGTAAGAAACATAAAAAATAAAAACCATGTGTTTATCAACTCAAGACAATGTTTAGAACATCATAATAGACGATGTTAAAATAAACCAAGAAAAGGTTAACATAAAGCAGGTGGAAAAAGAATAACTATGCTTTCATAGTTATTTTTTTTTTCAATAACTTTTTTGCAAGCTTAAAATTTAAAAGCGTTGAAACGATCAAAGGTGAATAATCTAACCTCAGAGTCAAGAGCCTGCTTAGGCTATCGAGATCGTTTGGACCTTAAAGTAGCTTGAAGTTTATGTGAAGAGAGCATTGAATAGTAGGAGGTTTTCAAGCAATTTCAAAGTCCTGAAAGTATTTGGAGGTTTTCCTGAATGCATTTTCTAGACTTGATTTGACTTTTTCGAACTCGAGAAGTTTTTTGCAAGTTTTAAATTTTAAGTAGAAGCCGAGAACTGATAATAATAGGTGAACAGGTTGAAAGTGATGCCATAGTTGAAGACCATCTTGAGAGCGAATGGGAAACAGGACAGAGGCTCATCTTTTGAACAGGAAGGACAGTCGTCAGTTGTTCGCCTGAAAAGTAATTTTCATTAAAAAAAATCCAAAAACAATGAAATCTCCAAAACTTATCTGGCTTAATTTGTCTTTTTAAACCCTAGGAAACTTTTTGAAAGTAACTGCTTATAAAAAGTCAACGAGCTAACCTCAAATTCCAGAAGAGGTTAGACTGTCAAGATCATTATAACCTTAATATCTTGAGAGATATGGTGGCAGGTTATGTTGTCAAGGTCATCTTGAACCGCAATACGTTGATAGGTTAGGCTGTCATTGGACCTTAAATTTGCTTGAAGTTCAAAAAAACATTCATTGTTCGTAAGAAGTTTACTAGTTTTAAACTTTAAGAGTAAGTTTGGAAGGGATTATCAGAGGCGAGTAAGCTAAGGCGTAAAGGCCAGAAAGCTTCAGGAAAACTCTCATGCCAGGTATAACCTAAGAATAGGTTCTAACTCAAACAGAATGCATTTTCTAGACTTAATTTGACTTTTTTGAACTCGAGGGGTTTTTTGCAAGTTTTAAATTTTAAGTGGAAGCCGATAACTGATAATAATAGGTGAACAGGCTAACCTCAAATTCCAGAAGAGGTTAGACTGTAAAGATCATTATAACCTTAATATCTTGAGAGATATGGTGGCAGGTTATGTTGTCAAGGTCATCTTGAATCGTAATACGTTGATAGGTTAGTCAAAGGACCTAAAATTAGCTTCAAGTTCAAAAAACTATTCGTTGTCCGTAATCAGTTTACTAGTTTTAAAGTGTAAGTTTGAAAGATATTATCAGGAGCGAATAAACTAACTTGAAAGGCCAGAAGGCTTCAGGAAAGCTCTCACGACAGGTAAAACCTAAGAATAGGTTCTAAACTTCTAACTCAAATAGAATGCAATTTTTTGCTAAATTGGCCTTTTTTTTCACAAACCCCAGAAGGCTTTTTGTAAGAGAGTTGCTTCGGCAGTTTGAAAATTGGCGGTCCGTCTGGCACTGCAGTGACGAATGAGCTGAAGTTGTCAAGATCTCTCTCGTGCACCTCACGACCCTGAAAAAAATTGTACAATACACTGGCTTTGTTTACGTCAGGAGGTCAATTATAATCGAGTTTCACAACGGGATGACACCTGGAGGATTGTTGAAAAGAGGTTTGTCGTTGAAATTTACAAATTAACAAGACATCAGTTATGTCGTTGAGGTGTTTGCTATCGAAAATGTGGGTCCGCGGCTTCCAGCTACTCCACAGGCGAGACGTCGCCTGGAAGATCCGCCCCGTCGCCCGGGGGTTCGGGGGCGGAGGGGGGACGAGAACCGCCGACAAGCTCCCTGTACAGACCCACTACGAAAACGCGAGGAAGCTATTCGCAAATTCAATACTCAGCAGGGTTACGACAAGCCTTTCGACAGGCTTGAGAGAGCGTACGACTCGCCAGTTGCTCTACGGCAACTCGACACCTTTCTTCGCCTTTGTGGGCATAGGTCTCGCATCTGGTTCGATACTTCGAAAGGAAGACCAGCTTGAAGGCCTCTGCTGGGAGATCAGGGTATGTCGTACATCAGGTCTGTTTATAATTCATAAATTTAACAATTACACTGTGCAGGAATCTTTGGAGAGAATGCAGAAATCCATGGCAGAAGCGGAATCAGACCTGTTCAGACCGAGCGAGCCAGTCGGAATCAATAAATTTACTATAGGACCTTTCATCGGCAAAGGGAGCAATGCGGCAATCTTCGCCGCAAGAAAAAAACCCATGTGTAAGTTTAATGATGATCCACAAATCAAATTTACAACATTTTATGCTTTACTTACAAAAAGCTTCCTTGGGGTTTAAATTAAAAAGGTCCTTGTGGGCTTTCAATTAAAGTTTAAAAGATAGAAAAAGTCTCATGGGGTTTGAAAAAGTTCAATGAAGTCAGGAAAATGCATTCTGTCCAATTTAAAACCAATTTTTTGCCAGGTTTTACTTGGCATGAGACCTTTCCTGAAGCCTGGACATTAATGTTAGCTTTCTGACAATCTTTTCCAAACTTACACTAAAGTTTAAACCTAACTAGATCTTACGATCAAAGTTCTTTTTGAACTTCAAGCTAATTTTAGGTCCTAACGACAGCCTAACCGGTCGACCTCTTAAGGTTCAAGATGATCTTGACAGCCTAACCTCTTCTGGATTTTGAGGGTAGTCTGTTCACCTCGGCTACGACGTAAAGTTTAAAACTTGCTTAAAAGTTCCTGGAGTTCAAAAAAGTCCAAATAAGTCCAGAAAATGTATTCTTAGGTTTTACCTAGTCATGAGAGCTTTCCTAAAGCCTTCTGGGCTTTCATGTTAGCATTTTCACTTCAGATAAGCTTACAATCAGTTCTTTTTGAACTTCAAGCAAATTTAAGGTCCTATGACAGCCTAACCTATCAACGTATTACGGTTCAATATGACCTTGACAACATAACCTGCCACCATATCTCTCAAGATATTAAGGTTATAATGATCTTGACAGTTTAACCTTTTCTGGAATTTGCGGTTAGCTCGTTGACTTTTTTTTTTTTTTTTTTTTTTTTTTTTTTTTTTTTTTTTTTTTTTTTTTTTTTTTTTTNTTTTTTTTTTGCGTTATGAACTATGCATATTAGCCATGTGACAAATTCGTATATGTGTGTTCAAATTTGGGGGGTTATTGGGAAAAAAGGGCCAGGGGCAACGGTGGGAATCGAACCCACGACCGCGGCGTGAGAGTCTCTCATGCTAACCACTCGGCTACCGCGGTCCCCATCGTTGACTTTTTATAAACAGTTATTTTCAAAAAGCTTCCTAGGGTTTAAAAAGGCAAATTAAGCCAGATAAGTTTTGGAGATTTCATTGTTTTTGGATTTTTTTTTTTTTTTTTCAATGAAAATTACTTTTCAGGCGAAGCAACTGACGACTGTCCTTCCTATTCAAAAGATGAGCCTCTGTCCTCTTTCCCATTCGCTCTCAAGATGGTCTTCAACTACGGCATCAACTCGAACGCTTCAGAAATTATGACAAAGACTTTCAAGGAGATGGTGCCCGCTAGGGTACGCTATTCACCTCCTGAGGCTGAAGATTTGCTGTAAGATACATATTTATTTTTATTTTTTTGCAATTTTATAAGTTCTTTTGTAGATCGGAAGGCATACATCTTCCACCGCACCCGAATCTTGTTACAATGCATGTCGCCTTCCCTGATCGCGTGCCTGACGACCTGCCGAACGCCACCGAGTTCTCAAACGCTCTTCCAAGCCGTCTCACCTCCGTTGGCTACGGTCGTAACATGTCACTATTCATACTTATGAAAAGGTAAGCCAATAAGAAGATAGTAAGTCGTTTATATTATTTTTAATTTTGTAAAATCAAAGATAAGGTGTGATCCTCGGTAGGCAAAACATATCGAGTATGGCTTCTACGATCTCACACCCAAGGAGAAGGCGCAGGAGCGATTTAACGCTTAAACTCTTGTAAACTTTTCTGTAGTTAACCCCCTCTGTACACGCTGTCTTCAAACGCCCAAGCCAATCTCGTCTGAATCTGAAATATGGCCATTGTTAAAAAATTTTTATTATTTTTTATATTTTCTTACAACCTCTCCAGTGTTCCGAAACTGCAGGAAGGAAGGTCGTCAGCTTCCGCAGGAATTTCAGGAAGCAGCAGATAATCTTCGTGCATAGCCGCTCCGGGCCAAGCCGTATCCACCAGCACAGGCATTCGCCCCTGTGGAGCAGCGAATACTGCTCAGTTTGCCTGTAGTAAAACAAAAAATTTAAATTTTTAATTCAAAAAATAAACATGTGTTTGTATTTTAAAAAAAAAGTTGAAAAAAAAATTTAAAAAAGGCAATGTCTTACCCTTCGCGATCATCCTCCTTTGCGAGCATGATGGCAATGATGCAGGCGATGATGGCTATGAACAGTAGAGTCAACATGCCATCGTACTTGAGCAGGAAGTAAGAGAGGTAATTCATATGACCTGAAAAAAGAAAAGAGCATGAAAAAAAGCAAAAAAAAAAGCTACTGATACTATCTCATACTCATGGGTGGTTTGCATCCTTTCGTCCTCATCTTGGCGAAACAGCAGTCTTTCACCGCCCGCATAGAGTTGGCATATATATCGTTAAACGATGACGAACAGGTCATTTTTTTTTTTTTTTCTTCCAATTGTGTACAGGAAGGGTTATGTATTCATTGTGTCATCTCTGTGTTTGTTCTTAATTTTTTTCTCTTTAATTTATATTATTGTCACATCCCATATAAACAAAAAATTTGAAAGAAAAAAAAAATTAAAATTGTAAGCTGTCATCCATCTTGGCTCTTTTAATATGTAAACAAATTTATTTCAAGTTTATCACATGGATTTCATCACAAAACAATTTTTTTATTGATTAAGAATTCTACAAGTAATAAAAGATTCTCAGCTTAAAGGATTTTTGAATTTTAAAAAATTGCTTTAATTGATTGATCACGCTGCGAGACACAATTTTGACTATCTCTTCTCACCCTCATATTGCGGCCGTAATGGATCTCATCAGCCCTACCTCTCCAGATATGGTTTAGATAACCTTGGTAACATGGTCTCTCCAGATAATATGGTACTGGTGGACCTAAACAGTGAAACTTTTCCATATGTTACTGTTAACATAGACCTTGTCAGCAAAACTCTCCAGATATTACAGTTTGAGACGACCTTGACAGCAAAACTCCCCAGATATAACAGATTGAGATGACCTCGAAAGCAACACCTCTTTCGATATTAACATTCATTTTGTCGTTGACAGCAAAACCTCTCCAGACATTGCAATTAACCAGCCTAACCTCTCTATACATTACTGTTAACACGGACTTTGACAGTGAAACCTTTCCAGATGTTAAGGTCTCATAGAATTTGATATCAATACCTCACCTGTGTTATGTTAGGGTAAAATTAAATCCGAAATCAGTTCTTTCATTATATCATTAACCTGTGTTATTTGCAATTTATTTAATAACTTCTATCAAATTATCTATAATTTTTTGCGTCCATTTTTCTTTTTCTTCTTGTATAATTTTTGTTTGCAACCGAGTATTTATTGGTGATCTTTGTGTGGAACTTATTTTATTTTTTCCCACTGTTTAATTATTTTATAATCAGCAGTAAATTGTAACACTGACTAATTGAATAGTCAGATGCTCTGCTACCAATATTTGTTATGTTAGGGTAGTAAAATTAAATAAAATCAATTCCATTAATACCTCTTTTTCAAACAAATCTGAATAAAAGTAAAAAATTAAAAATAATAAAACATTTTCATACCTACAAATATAATACATAGCTTCTGTATATATAAAGCTAAATACACCTATTTTTTTTTTTTTATTTACTTTTTGTTTATATATTAAAAAAAATGAATAGGTACCTCTGGCCAAAACTCTGAGCTCATACAAAATTATTAGAACTTATAAATTGTAGAAGTATATACAAAAAAAATTAATAGAATTTTACAATACAGTCTTCTCGTCTTTTTCCACTTCTACTCGCATTGCACGATGGGAATATCTCAGCAGTAGGGGGGTTTGACGAACAATTCAAAAGTTCGCCGTTATACCTGGTATTACGGTCACTGTAGACCTTGAAGGACAAACCTCTCTAGATATGGCCTTGACAGCCAAATTTCTGGATGGTTCGGATGAGATTACCTTAACAACCTAATCACTCCACGTACTTTGGAACTATACCTGTCCAGATATTGGAATTAACAAAACTAACAGTCTAACTTCTCCAGATATTACAGTTACAGTGTACCTTGTCTAATGGGATTTTCTCTCAAATATGGAAATTGTACTTACTATATGTTAATAATTAAGTCACATTAATATCTTTTATATTTTGCATTTTTAAGGTATGAAATGAATTTGAGCGAGTACCTCTCCAAGGAGAAAGTCGAAACGAGGGAAGCTATACTGATTTTCGCTCAAATTCTGGAAGCCATCGCTCACATCAACCGGCATGGTGTAGCTCACAGGTACATCAGTTAATTTACAAAATTTAAAAATATTTTCTAATTGTGTACCTTTTATTTTGGCAGAGATTTGAAAAGCGACAATTTCCTCGTGGATGTAATTCACGAGAAGGAGCATGAGTGCCCGTGCGTTGTACTGACCGACTTCGGGTGTTGCCTTGCTGACCCCATCAATGGGCTTTTCCTCCCATTTCTGACTCCAACTGTCGATAAGGGAGGCAACAGCGCTCTCATGGCTCCGGAAGTGGCATCAGCCAAGTTGAATTCACCTGGTGTCAGCATCCTTTCACCGATCAAATACATTGACTATACTAAATCTGATGGCTGGGCTGCGGGTGCAATAGCGTACGAGTTGTTCACTGGGGAAAATCCTTTCTGCAAGGCTGAATCACTTAGAAACACGACTTATGTAGAATCGCAGCTCCCACCTTTGGACGAAGTGCCTTCAATCATCAGAAAAGTTGTAAAATCACTTCTAGTCAAAAGCCAAGCCAAGGTATTTACAAATTTAAAAATAGAACTTAAAAAATAAAAAATAAAATGTTTTTGTGTAGAGAATCAGTGCAGATTTTGCGGCGGATGTTGTTCAGCTTTATCTTTGGGCTCCAAGCAATTGGCTCAAAAAGTCAGTTGATATCAGCCTGCCGAGCAACACTGAGGTACTGCTATGCGCCGTTCGACTTCAGAACCAATATTTTTAATCGAATCAAACGTTTTCAGATAATGCAGTGGCTCCTCTGTATGACAACTAAAATCCTGACGACGGCCTCATTCGGTCAGAGACGATCACAAGCTGAATACCTCCTCATCGGCTCGTTCCTGCGCAGGGCTTGCCTGTCACGGCTGCGCTCGGCAATTGCCTTCGCTCAGGCCGATTGATGAGACCCGCTCTTTTAGCAGCACCGACGATTCGAAGCAAAATATTTTTTCTTAAGTTTCACGCCCAAAAAGAACCAGTATTAATTTCCATTTATTTACACTGAGTTGTCAGCAAATGTAGGCAGCATGAAACATAAAAATATTAAATATAAAAAATATATTTTAAAAAAGCACTATTTTACTGTGATGTACTTAAGTTACTATTTATTGGAGCTTATTATCAGCAAAAATATTTGTTTGTAAGTTTGTAATTTATGTTGTTACAATTTGGGTGAAAAAATTTTATTCTACTGTTAAGATTAATTATATAAAAGGTTACATTAATTTTTGATCTGATTTTATTTATTTATTTTATTACATATCCAAAAAATTCCTGGTAGACTGACAACTTTCCACTTTACAACCTCTCCAGACATTATGGTTTAAGATAACCTTCACAACCTACAATTCCAAGATATTACAGTTATAAGGTCCTTGACAGCATAACCTATCAAGATATTACGGTTTTGGTGGACCTTGAGAGGTAAACCTCTCCAGATAATTGCTATCATAATAAACCTTAAGAACCAATACTATCCAGATAGTATGGTTATAATGGACCTTGATAAACATCTACAGATATTACTGTTGTGGTTACCTAGACAGCCTAACATACCAAAATATAACAGTATTTTCTAGACGTAATCTCTCCAGATATGGCTATTATAAGACCTTGATAGCCAATATTGTTCAGATAATTGTTGTCATTAGAATTTAGTGCCAAACCTCAAGATGTCAGTTGTGATGAATTTATCAGCCTAAACAATCCAGATAATTGCTGTCATAATGGACCTTGACAGCCCAACCTCTCATTCAGTCAAACCTCTCCAGATATTATTTTATAATGGATCTTGACACCCAAACCTCTTCAGATATAACAGTCATAATGGTCCGTGACATCCAACCTCTCCAGATATCACGGTCATAATGTACCTTGGCATCCAAACCTCTCCAGATATTACGGTCACAATGGACCTTAACACACAAACCTCTCCAGATATTATCACCGTAATGGACCTTAAAATCTAACTCTCCAGATATCACAGTTATAATGGACCTTGACACCCAAACCTCTCCAGATATTATGGTCTAATAATGGGCCTTTATTCCCAAACCTATCGAGATTTTGCTGACATTATGAGCCTTGACAACCAAACACCTCCAGATGTTTTAATTAATAGACTTTACAGCCAAATATCTTAAGATATTTCAATTATGCAGACGTTAACAGCTAACAATCACCAGATAATTACTGTGATAATGGACCTCTACAGCTAAACATCTCAATATATAATGGTCATGGTGGATCTTAACAGGCAAACCTTTCCAGATATTACATTCATTATGTTCCTAGACATCCAAACCTCTCCAGAATTCAGTGTCATGTTGACCTTTTGAGCAAAACCGTTTCGGATAGCAGTTGTGAATGCCAAAGATGTGTAAAATGGCGGAGTTGTTAGTTTATCTGTTTAATAGTGCCTTGATGGCAATCGTTTAAAGAAATTTAATTTTATCTTGCTTTTTTCAACCTTCATTTTTTCTCTTTTCTTCCTGATTATTTTGTAAATACTTCCATTACAAGCAAGCAAGTGAGCAAGTTAACCATAAAAATCTTTACCAGACACCACACTAGCACACCTCAGAGCGTCCTACTAGTACTTTAAAAAAAGTCTCGATTTTAACACGCAGACATTTTTTCTGCTTTGTGTCTGAAGACAAAACTAAAAGGAGATTAACAGAGTATTCACCCAACCATCGTATTACGTTGTGTAAGCATGGATATGGGGGCCGCGGTAACCAAGTTAAGGGTCGGACAGTCACATAGAACCCACGGTCTTAGTTTCGAGTCCTACCACCCACTATGTAATTTCTGTCCTTTTCTATCCACCAAAAACATCCTAATCTAATCCACAACCAGTACGAATAATTGAAAATTAATATACTTGCTCATGATTAATCTAATCAGCCTAACCTCTCCAGATAATCATTGTCTTAATGGACTTTGACATCCAAACCTCTCCAGATATTAGTTATTACTTACCTTGACACAGCCTCTCATGTGAACCTCACCAAATATTATGGTTGAAAAAAACTTAAAATGTCTTCTCATTATCCTTATACTCCTTGACAAATCGAAAACCAGGCCAATATATTTTTTATCTATAAAGAGGAATTTGTACAAAAAAATGATAATTATTGAATGGCAAAAATTGAATAACATGAAAATAAAAATCCAATATATTCAGGTTTTTTTTTTTTTTACTTTAACCTCATGTACAGATTTTTAATTTACAATTAATTTTATATATATGCATATAGTTTTTCTTTTTCTTGTTTTTTTAGTATAAAATTATGATCAATGTCCCTGCTGCCCCTGTGGAAGAAAAAATAGAAAGTGTTTTATACATAAGTTTGACCTTTGAGATCTTGAAATTTTTAAACAAATTCATCCTTGTCAGACTCTAGCAGTAGTCTAATTTCATGATAGGATTTTTTTATATTAACATATTTGCTTCAGATATGTTTATTGTTATACTTATGGATAATAAGTAGCTAATAAAGAGTAATAATATATATACACATTTTTTCGCACAAAATTAACCATTATAAAGGAATGTCAATAAAGAAAAAAATTAGTATGTGGGTGTCGTAGATGTTTCACTGTGTCCGCTTAAGAGATGGATAACAACCCTTAAAAGCAAATAAATAAAATTTCATTTCATATGTTGCCGTATTTATATGTCAAATGTTATACAAAAAAGAAAAAAAAAGATCGGGGGAGGGAAGGGTGGAATTCAGCTGAGTCTACTCCATCGGCGTCGTCCCCACGACGTACTTGACAGCCAGGACAAACGCGGCTACGCCTATAACTACGAATATGTTGGAAATGGCTGACGAGAGGGCTGATGCATCCGACTGCACCGTCTGGCTGTTGAGCTGGCCTCGTAGGCCGCCTTCGGCCATCTGTCTTTTACGAGCTTCCTCTTCTAACAGCTCCCTCCTTTCCAGCTCCTTTTTTATGTCCTGCAATTTAAATTATTTTAAAAATAAATAAATAAACAAAAATATAATAAAATATTTTACCGGTAGGAGTGAGGGGAATTGATCACAGAATTGAGGGTCCTTGAGGTTAATGCTGAGGCTCCTGTACGCATGTTGACGTTTCTCATCCTCAGTCGTTTCTATGCTGCCGAGAGTCGGGCTTTGTTCAAGCATAAAGCTGAGCAGGCCGGTGAGTATTGTCGAAACACTCCACGCCGGGTTCCATGTATCTGGGTGGAAATCACTTATTGACAGGCAGAGCCTTGTGTTTGGCCTGAAGCGCCCATTCGGTGTGATCATGTATATGCTGGGTGGTTTGAACGGGAACTCGCGTGGGAAGAGGAGCTTGCCGTGGTACATGCCACCCTCATATGGCGAGTTCTTCGGACCGAAAACCACATAGTGCCTGTGAAAAAAAGAAAAAACATAAGCCTACATTACGCCTTATGTACAAATAGAAAAAACAAATTTACAGGAGTACCAGAGTTTATAAAAATAGATGTTTGTCGAAGGTACTTTTTAATTTAAAGAGGACCAGAGGCTATATCTGTCTGAGGCTATATCAGAGTTGGTGGTATGGAACAACCCCACAAAGAGAAAAAAAAACCGACGTTATTAAAGTCAATTAAATAAATATATTCAAATAAATAATGATAGATTAATTAGGGAAAAGAATGAAAACATATCAGATTAGCAGTGGTGATAGCAGGCGTGAAATTATTGACCTGTGGTTGGTTTGAATCAAAACAACCCACAATGACAGACCCAGACTATATAAACAACCATACATCAAAAACAATAAAACAAATTCAAATAATAATAAAATTAACAATGCTTTATTTATTATTTCTACTTTTTACAATATTTTACTCTTTTTTTTATTAGCATGCTATTACAGCATGAAAAGACTGTCTGCCGGAAAATTCAAATAAATAATTAAAGATTAATTAATTTAAAAGAATAAAAACATTCGGTTGGGAGTGGAGTTGAAAGGTGTGAAACTTTTGACCTGTGGTCGGTTTGAATCAAAACAACCCACCACGAGAGACCCAGGCTACAAAAACAACCCGACATCATCAAAAACAATAAAACAAATTCAAATAAATAATTAAACATTAATTAGTTAAAAAGAATAAAAACATATCCGGTTGGCGGTGCAGTTGGCAAGCTTGAAACTTTTGGCCTGCAGTCGGTTTGAATGAAAACAACCCGACAACAAAAACAACCCGACATCATCAATAGCAATAAAATAACATAATATAATGAAATATTGACAAATTGGAAAAGGAAGGATGGAATTTCTTGTATGCAATGGAGTTGACATATGGCAGATGTAACCTTGGGCTGCCTCAAGGGTAACATATAATGTAAATATAACAAAAAGCAAGTAGTAAAAACGACAAATACCATTCGAGTATGTTTGACGGGTTGGGTTCGGCGACGACATATGGCACCGGGTCCCTCTTGAGGCGTAAGTAGTCCTGCTTGAGCCGGGCTGTGGCCGTGTTGGCCCTCCTCGACATCCTGCAGGTTCTCTCTCGTCCTGTTATCTTTTTATTCCGCCTCCTGGTCTCTTCGTCGAAAATGGGACGGATACGGTATGTGGGTCCGTTCGGTCTCGTCTAATCCCGGCGGCCGTTCCTCTCCCTGTCGAGATACGGCCCTTGAATAGTCATAATCGTACTGGGGAGAGGGAGAAAAAACAACAAGGAAAACTGGAAGAATAGAAGAAAAACAACGGATGAAAAGGTACACTGTGCCCGGGTGAGATGAAGGGAGGGTGGAACTAGTCGGTCGGTGGTGTCGGTCCTGCCATTTTGACGTTGGGGAGGTCAGCTGTCGGCGTCGATTGACGCAACACTTCTCCGTGGAAATTATTTATTTAAAAAAAAAATATATATAAACTTTACTCCCTGATTAACGTCCTGTTGGGTTTGTCGGGAAGAAGAGGGGAAAAAAAACCTCTTGGTCGAGTGCGATTTCGTGCTTTCGAGCTTTCAAGATGGAGCGACGTCAGTCGTGCTTTAACGAAGACGTCGCGATCGATGTGCTTTTGACGTGACGTCACTGAAGTCCAAAGAAAATCTAAAGGCACTTTTACATCTGACAGTTATTACAATATTTATATGTATGTATGTATATATATATACATATATATATTATATATATATATATATAATCGGACATATACGCCAGACCATTAGCTATATCTGTCGAACCATAGATACCATAGACACTTGTCGCAAAAATTGACTTTTCTGCCATCGCAATAAGTGTCTCATAAACATAAATGACAAAAAAGAATGGTTTAAATCCGAAAAAATTAAAACTTAATAACAGCACCTACTTACTACTAAAAATCACTAAGTTGCAAGTCGTTCTGTTACGCTAAGAGCTTTTCAGTATTTGGTACCTTGCTTCCGTTTAATGGGATCCGTTTTACAAGCGAGCATTTCAAAATCAGCAGGTTTGATTTTTCAAAAATTCTAGCGAGAGTGAGAAAGAAAGAAAGGGAGAGAGAAGGAGAGAGAGAGAGAGAGAGAGAGAGAGAGAGAGAGAGAGAGAGAGAGAGAGAGATTAGTTTATGGATGAACAAAACAGGATATCAAAGTAAACATATAATCGTATTAATGGATCTATTACAATTAAATACAGTTACCTAGAGAGAGAGAGAGAGAGAGAGAGAGAGAGAGAGAGAGAGAAAGAGAGAGGGAGAGAGAGATTAGAAGACAGATACATGAAGCGGGACAGAGAAGGAGATTAAGAGAGAGAGAGAGGTGAGAGTAGGAGATTAAAAAGAGAGAGAGTGAGAGAGGGGAGAGAGAAGAAGTTTGCGAGAGAAAGAAAACTGAGCTGCAACCTCAATACTGAATTCAGACATTAATTGGTTGTACCTCCTTTTCATCTTCATAGTAATTACAGCAGCAGATAGCATTTCGACGCTTTCATCATGTCAAGATAAAATCAACTGTGTGCAGAATGAAATAGATATACAAGTACATAGGACCTGAGTTTACACAAAAATATATCTTGTAAACTAGTCGTATATTTATACCAAGTTTTGCATTTTGAGAAATGTCGTATACATAGCCATGGTATAAATTTCTAGCAGTTTCTATGTGCATGTGAACAGTCAAAGTGATTTTCTGACACTCGACATATATTTCCGAACAAAAGTGTCAGATGCAAATGTATCTTTACATTCGACAATATTCTGACATTTCAAAATTCAATATTAACATAATACAACTATTACAATAACTTAACCGAATCTTGTACAGTATCGTTTATAAATGGCTGTTACAATGTTTATTCTTGCTGTAATACCTCTCAAGATAGTACATAATTTAGATTTTTTTTTATCCCCCAAATATTATTGTTTATTTTACCTTTACAACAATAACTCTTATTGTAATACCTCTCAATATTTTAAGGCTTATTTATAAAATAAACCTTTACATTTTTTCTTATTAGCAATCACTTGTCCAAATATTAAGATAAATGGTTTCGGTTTATAAATGGCCTTGACAATGGTAACTCTTGTTGTAACACCTCTCGAGATATTACGGTAACTTAGCTGAATCTTTCCTTCTTTCTTTCTTGACATTATGGTATATGAATGACCTTCACAACATTAAATCTTGTTTTAATACATGTTAAGATATTGAGGTTTATTTAAAAAAATGAATTATTATTATCCCTTATTATCAATCACTTATACAGATATTAAGGTAAATTGTTTCGGTTTATAAACAGCCTTGACAACATCAATTCTTGTTGTAATACTCTTCAAGTTATTGTGGTAACTTAGCTTAATCTTTATCTTTTCCCTCTGAATATTATGGTTTTTAAGTGATCTTCACAACAATAATTCTTAAAGTAATGCCTCTCAAGAAATTGAGGTTTATTTAAGGTAAAATCGGTTTATAAACAGCCTTGACAACATTAACTTCTGTTGTAATACCTCTCAAGATATTACGGTTTATAAATGAACCTTGACACATTTGTTATTAGCAATCACTTTTCCAGATATTAAGATAAATTGTTATAGTTCATAAACAGCCATGACAAAATTAAGTCTTGTAATATCTCTCAAGATATTACTGTTTTAAAACGCATTAGACAAACCGATATAGCAACAGCCCAGGATGTTGTGAGCCTCATTTGTTTAGGAGGTTGATGATATCATTTATTGTGGCCTGATATCATCAACCTCCTAAACACAGTATTTGACAATTCACTATTCAGATATTTAGGCAATTTACTATGGTTTAAAATATCCTTGGCGATTTCAACTCTTTACAATTCACTTACCCGTTACGTTCATAACTCTCTATGGTTTCAAATGATATTAATAACATTAAATTACTCAAGTTATTATGTCGAAATGACCTCGACAGAATATTTTCTTATTATATTCTCTTAAGATATTAGGTTGGAATGACCTCGATGACATATTTATTTGTATTTTATTACATTTTCTCAAAATATTATGGTTGAAATTACCTTAACAACATTTTTTTTATTATTGCATTCTCTCAAGACATTATGGTCAAAATGTTTTTTGAAAATTCATTCCCCTCCCTCACTCTCTCTTCATGTTTCTCACCTTCACCACCAAAATTATATTATGATATGAATCTAAAATTTCTAACAGAATAGACAATATATTTTTGTAATTCTTTTTATTGATTGAATCAGCGTCAAGGGGTAATGCAGTTTTTGGATATACGAGCAAGATTGATAACATAAATGTTTGAAAACATTCCGAAGACCTCTTTACGTCTGCCTGACCATTCCGAGGTCTTTAGCCACGGTCGACACCCACTTGTAGACACCGTTCCAGGGCTTGGCAGACTCCAGCCTGCCCATATCCCCAGTGGGGCTCAACTGTTCATCGCGCTTTTCCCTGTGCTGCACACCAAGAGTCAAAGAGGCTTAAATAAAATGGCATGGACTCTTACCTTAATAATTTTTTGCCTAAGGCCGTCCAACTTCCACCTTTTGCGCTCTTCACCTGGCACCTCCTTGAGCTTTTTGTGGTCCAGAGTGAACATCTTGTACACCTCATTCGCCATCTGCTGCACACTCGATTTCCCCCTTCGAAAATAATCGTACATGTCGTCCAAATTCATTGTTGTTGTTGTTTTTTTATTTTTTTACAAGTATGAAAGGTTTAAGAGGTTGAAATTTTGAAATAAATATGAAAAAGCCAATCAGGTGATGTATTACACATTTTAAATTTAAATAAATTCTGATATTTATCCCCCCATAAAATCTTTCTATACTCTAGGACCCCAGTACAAAGTCAAATTCCACCCAACACAAACAAAATTTGACAACTGAGTAAACACCACATCAAAAGACATGTCAGAATTAAAAACTTCTTTCTTCAGTGTAGGTCATAAATAAATAAAAATAAAAATAAATAAATATATATACATTTAAAAAATGATAATAAAAACTACAAAAATGACTTTCTTGTCTTTCAGGAAAATTCAGAAATGTCTGTGGAGGATCAGACCGACCACATCTTCGACCAGGTGTTGACAGCCAGGCTCCAGGACCACTTGAAAATTCTCATCGAATGTTATGCCCCTGATGAAGAAGAGTCGATTGTAAAATGTTCAAAACAATTTCTGTAAACCGATTCTTTTTTTTTTTTTAATTAATTAACTTTTTTTAAACAGAATACAAGCTCGAAATATAGCTCCAAAAGCACTGCGAGGCTGAAGCTTCTCATGCGGTTTGCGACAGTACCAAGCCTGCTCAGCTCGGGTGAAGACATCATATCCACTGGGACAAACTAGGCAGTCAAACATGAACAATTAACACGACATTGCATTTATAAACAGTTTTAAATTATAAATCACAAGACATCATTGGCTAAATTGAATTTCCACGTGTAAAGAGACAAATATGAAAAAGGCTATAAACGACAAGGTTATATTTTAACACAAACCAAATAAAACGGTTATATTTTAACAAAAACAAAATAAAAAGGCTCTAAACGACGATGTTATAGTTTTATTTTTATTTATAGTCCAAACAGGTCAGGTACTCAAGCATAGGACAGTCAAGCAACACCACAAAACAATCATTACAATAAAAACTATTAAAAAGGTATATACAAATAAAAATAACACCAAAGAAGGGCCAACACTTTTAACAAAAAGATTAACATTACAAATAGATTAAAAAATAACACAACAAAAGTAATAAATAAACCCTCAATTACATTTTAAATCTCGTTTAATATTTTTTTAAAGATCCGAAGGAAATGAATTTAACACAAATCAACCAAAAATATTATAAACGACAAGGCTAATATTTTGACACAAACAAAATAAAAAGGCTGTAAATGACGAGGTTATAATTTTAACACAAAACAAATGAAAACGTTATATTTTAACTGAAACAATATAAAAAGGCTCTAAACGATAAGGTTATAATTTTTACACAATCCAAGCAAAAAGATTATAAATGACAAGGTTAAAATTTTAACACAAACCAAAATTTGAGATGGTTACAAATGTTCTAACTGTGATTTTCAGTTTTATGTTAATCAGTTTAAATAATGAAATAAAAATACGATATAATAAATATCAACTTGATTTTGATTATTTCAGATTTTTGTTGTTGGGGTTTTGTTCCATTTTGTGTGAAATTGAACTTTAACCCTGTTTTTCTTTTTAATATAAATTCAATTTGTTTTTATTATGTATTATTAAAATATTTTATTTAAAAATATTATTAAAATATTTTATTTAAAAATATTATTAAAATATTTTGTTTTATTTATAGATTTGTTATTTTAAAAGGGGATCAATTTGAATTTGTAATTTTCCCGCCAATTTTTCCCGCGCTTTCTCAAACCGAGCCTCGTCCGTTCTAGAGCCCCGTTTTAAAAAGCGTATCCACTCTGAGGATAAATAGTGACATTAAAAATCGTCCGACCCTCTCGATCCGGTCCATCGAGGGCCGTGGGTCCGCCCAGTCTCGCCGATTTTAATCTCGGGCCGGTTCGCCGTTCCGTATCCGTATACCTGTGGCCGACTGGGACGGCGTCCATTCGCACCTCCCGCGGACACGCTTGTTGTCAAATTCGGCCAGTTTTCGAATAAAACCCCAAAACAAGGCACTTTCGACCGCCCCCGACTTCGAACCGTCCGCCCCCGGAGGAAAAAGGAACGCGTTCTCCTCCTTTTGTTCGAGCCCAGTTCGACCCTTTTTGTCCCTTTTTTCCCCCGACCCTTTTTCCGTCCCCGAGGTTTTCCCGGAGGCCGGACGGAGCCGAATCGACCTATCCGCCGGCCCCGAACTCCCTTTTTTCCTCTTTTCGGACCGGACAAGGAGGAAAACCCCAGGATACCCACCCGCTCCTGGGTACGGCATCCGTTTTTTTTTTCCAACCCATCCGTCAACTTCCGCCCCACGACAGATGGAAGTGGCGTGCGTCAACGGGTGAGTACCATTTCAATATATCAATTATTTATAATTTTCACTTAAGCCTACACCTCTGATGACAGCCCTAGGCGAATAGTGCAAAACAACTTTACACAAGACACACCCTTTACACTTTTCAGAAAACCAAAGGCCAAAAAAATGGAAAAAACCACTCTAAACCACAATAAATTCACATACATGTACTAAACAAATGAAGTTAAAAGAAACTGCTCAAAAATGTTCAGGGATATTTGTAATTTATTCATATTCTTATTATTATTATTATTAAATAGAATTCATTCATTTTTAATATGGATTTACTTAAGAGTAGCAATATGCGGCAGTTTCCATTTTAATCCAGTTGTATTCCCTTTGTAACCATGGAGGGACATCATCTTGAACCAGAAATTCTCAATGTTATTGTGAAAATAAGTCACCAAGGTCACCAGCATGTGGATATCGCAGAGGCGATAGGCATTTCTCAATTCTGAGAGATTGGATGGTAAGGTATGGTAATGGTAATAATAGGAAGCGGGGTTTGTTCTCCCCAGGCACTGCAGCCTTCTGGCTTGTACCTTCCTAGTTCAGTACAATAGACTAAACTTCCCTAACCATCCCTAACCATTGAGCCGTTGCTTTGCATCCGAAGATGGTGGCTGTTATGCCCATGTGTAGATGTTTTCTCATATGCCAGTGACTGGTTAATAGTCCTGTCCTCTGAGTCTACCCCTCTCCTAGTGCAGCAATGAGTTTGGTGAGGGTTATTTCATCATAAGTTTACTGTGTTTAGCGCTGCTAGAGTTTAACTTCTCCTTTTGTTCTATTTGGATCTATTCTGCGGTGGAGGATTCTATATTTGTTTTTATTATCCCACATATAGGTTTGGGACCTATGTATGGTCTTGCGGATCCTCCTCTGGCCAGCTTTCTCACCTATATTTTCTTTTTTCCTTGGCACCCAAGGTTGTTGTATTTCCCCAGGTTTTGGAAATTTTAGTTGGATTTGCTGACTAATTTGATTTTTTTACACATTAATGCTTTCTTAGCTGTTTGGTTATCAGATCTTATGAGGTTTTATTTGCCAGTAACAACTTTTCAGATTTTCTAGAGCACAAGCTTTGATGGCATGTGTTTCTGCTTGAAAATCCGAAGTGTACTTCTCTAATGAGTTTGATTACTCTATGGGCTTGTATAAAAAACCGGATCCGGTTCTATTGTATGTTTTGGAGCTATCTGTATACTATATCATTGTATCTGATGCTCTCCTGAGTCCTTCCTCTCCTTTATAGTTCGTTGAGACTTTATACGATGTTGTAAAGAATGTTTCAGAGATCGTGTAGTCAGTCCCCATTTATAAGAGCTGGTTGTGTGCCCGAAGCTAGTTCCTATCCAATTTGTTTTCCCAGTGTAGGTAGTTTTAAGCCTGGACCCCACATGATCTGTGTTGTTGCGTGATGTCCAACAGTCAGCCGACTTGTGGTGACGGTGATGGAGGACCCCACTTTGTCAATAGCGTGTTGGACAACATTCAGTAGTTAGTAGCTTCAAAGCTACATCGTTTTGTGGAGAAAAAATGTTAAGAAGTTTAAAAATAGTGAATTACAGATGATAGCACTTGTTTTACAGAAAGATGTTAATTGGCGAAGAAATCATCGCAGAAGGAGAAGAATGTGGGTTCACAATGCAAGGAAAAAGAAGTGTTGAAAGGGAATTAATTAATTTGATTATTATTTAATTAAATTATTCTGTCTTTATATTCCGCTTTTCTGTGTTTTTCATTGGACTGGTCATACAACACAGGAAACTTTTTTTTCTGACCACCTCAAAAAGTTTCTTTGCGTCCATTTGACGAAATAGAATTGTACTAAGATTAAAAGACAATTGAGAATAAATAGTTAAATGATATATTAAAAAAAAAAAAAAATTGAAAAATAAACATTACACTGCACCTCACATGATCTGTGCCCATCAAAAACTAAACCAAACTAGTTGGACACGGTGTGGGCTCAGTGTGGTGTGTTAGTGTGTAGTCGGTGCGGAGATGTGGGGACTAGCTGGCTCACTTCCATTGTCCTGATCGCTTTCTGTGTGATGCCAGACAGACGGTTCTCACGCGCTGCAGTCATGTGGGGTCCGACTTTTAGCAGAATTTCTAAAGCACTTGTAGGGGTTGTTCTCATTGCCCTGGTGATAGGTTTACAAGTCTTTGTACGCTGCCTGATGTTTGAGTAGCTACTTCTTGTTGAGCGTTGATCTACCGAGAGACTGGAAGTTCCAATAGGAGGCAACTAGTGGATTTCGGCTGCTCCTCTAAAGAAGGACGGAAATATTGTCATGTAAGACGGAACCCTTTCCATGCCCACCAAATCCTAAATGAAGTACGAAATGCTTTGGCAAGGATTTTATCTACGATTTGTTTGTGGGAAGTTGGCCACACATCATATGCCCGTTTGAGATGACCTGCAGCAACAGCCTGCCATCAGCAACTCAGGAACATATGGTGCAGTTCTAGAAGAGAACACCAATTGGAATGCTCATGAAACTGATACATAGCGTTTCTGTCTGTATAGTGATAGCAGGCACCGAAGAGTCTACCGAGAACAAGGGATGCATACAATGCCCCAGTTCGTGCAGTTTGGAGGAAGCAGTGTAATGGTCAGGGCTGGGATTTACACTGGAGGACGAACTGGATCCATACTGATGAAGGCGACCTCGTTGCAGTCTGTTATGCTTGAGAAATTATCGAGGAACACATCCCTCAAACCACGGTTTGTTTTTTTTTGGCAGGGATTTTCGATTTTTCTCATAGAGGCAGAGTTGTTCATTGATGTTTA